GATGATATGGAAAATAGGAATCGGAAACTGACGATGAGTTATCGAGCCACACCTCCGCTTAGCGACGTGTCTTGGGTCGTAATTATCTTTTTAAACGACACTAATGACACTTTCTCCATCATATAGGCCTATTCTTAGCAAAAGTAACCGTTATAAATTATAAGCTTCCGCTGTCTGTTGTGGCCTATACAGTGAGTGTAAAATCGGGTCTCGAGGGCAAAAGGTTGGGGGGGGGGGGCTCGTAAAGCTGCTTTGCCATACAATCCCTACACGCTATCGCCGACATCTTTCGGTGATGCTGATTGGTCAGTCGAATCGGCGAACCTTCCCGATTGCGTCGATTGCACTGAAAACACGGTAGCGACAGTGTAGCGACTTTAAGGAAACTAGTCTTTCCAACATCTCTTCAAAGCGAAACTTAATTTCGGAACACTGATTTAATGATAATAAACACACTCTTTGTCCGATATCGTCCAATATGAAACAATATATTCTAGAAAAAGATGCCGCACTATTGACGTTTTGGTAACAATTGCACTTAAATCAACTGTTTATACACTTTAATTTATGTGTCGCCAAAACAAGTTAAATTTTTGCCAAAGTTGATGTTACACGTTGAATGAGAAACACACTCTTTGTCCGATATCTTCCAATATGAAACAATATATTCTAGAAAAAGATGCCGCACTATTGACGTTTTGGTAACAATTGCACTTAAATCAACTGTTTATACACTTTAATTTATGTGTCGCCAAAACAAGTTAAATTTTTGCCAAAGTTGATGTTACACGTTGAATGAGAGAAGCGTACTGATGATAGTTTTCTAACAGGCAAGAAGGCATGGTGGGCTGCAGGCCCCCGGAAGCTCCGGCGACATGTGGAGTGGTGGATGTTGATCCCTGTCCCTCACCGGTCGACACTTACCTGAGAGTGAGATAGGTTTGATTTTTTTTTTTACAGTGGAGGCGGGCTCAGGAAGTTGAAATAGAGAGGCCCAGGGAGGGACTTGCACAGATAGAGTGTCCACAAGCCTCAGTCCCACCATGGTTGGGGCTGAGGTAAGAAAAATTACGATATGGCACCTCGGCACTCTCAGATTTAAATTTGAATATAATTTTCTGTTTTCTCCTTCAAAAAAAATTAGGAGGGTGGGAGCCCATGCCGGCTGGGCTACCCTTGAATCCGCCGCTGTTTAATATAACATTTTGACAGCTCCCATTTGGTTTCACAAATGACTACGGTAATTTGTAATGTCAAGCGAAAAAGTCACTACAGTTTTTACAACTATTAATTAATTAATTAATTAATTAATTACAATACTATAAATTCTGTATAATTAACCGTCTGAGAACTTTATTTTAATAAATAACCTAATTAATATCTTATTGTTTACGTTATGTTATATGGAATTAAAATGTGGTTATATTACGTTAGTTTGATGGTTTACTGTAAGCCAATCAGTTACACTTACATCTTCATCGGTAACATCGGCCCTGTGCCTAAATACAGAATTTATCACTGGTGCTGGGAGCAGTCACAAAAGTGGGTGGGGGAGGGGTAGGCCCCCAGTAGAAAAAGTGGAGGGGAAAATTCCCCAACCCCTCTTCCGCCGTTGTCCGGATTTAAAAACACGATACTTTCTAGTTACTTTGTTTTGTCAATTTAAAAAAAGGGGGTATTTAGATTTAAAGCGTCCCCTCACTCCTCCTTAATCAAAACTGACCAATCAAAGCAGGACAAGGAATACGCACATGTCCCACAAACTCACACGCACGAGTTAGCAACAATTCAGTGGGCGGGGGCTTGGCGGAACCGTCCATTTTATAGCGCCCAGGCCTACCGCGTGCAGACGCATGTCAATGACTTTTTTGTGTGCGTTCAGATTAACCCATTGAGTCAAGCAATAATAATGTAATATAAACATACAGTAAACATGGGGTTGCCATGCAATTAACTAATGTATAAAAAGTGGCCTAAAAATTTTAATTTGCACAAACACACATAGGCCTATCATATAGGCCTATTCATTAAATGAAACGTATTCAAAATTAAACAATGGTCGGCACAATTGTATAGTTCAATAGACTTTGACTAATACCCAGCTTTGAAATGAGAACACAATTTGAATAAACATCATCAACAGGCCTAATCCGCATTCAAAAAACTAATTCCGTGATATTGTATCGAATTCTTCTCTTTGAAATTGACCCAAAATGCGTCAGCACCAGCAAGATAACACGTCAAACAGGCGTGGTCGCGTCGATATTTAACGCAGTATGCAAATTGCGTCAACTGGGATGGCAAGGAAAGACTTTATAATTATTACATAAAGTTGGATGCTTCAACAAGAAGATTCACTCAAGTCAACGCGATTTATTCGGTATATCAAACATATCGGCTGTGACGCAATGACGAGACTTTAAGACGTGAATTAGTGTCGAATGCGTCATAAACGAAGATGAAATTTCTAAGCATACGCGATGAATTTGATATTAAACGCATTGAATATTCTATATACACGACTGGGACATAGTGACTATATAGAGATGCAATTTAGAATCATATTATAAAACGCTAGATTGCTGTTGATTAATATTGCAACACCTCCGGCCAGATACAGCGGAGAAATAGTCATGTCTGGCACCGGAGGGGTAATTTCAGCGATATCCATACAATAGTTTAATTCAATACAATACTGTAGAGTCGGCTTTGTTGATGTTCAGAATGAGCTGATCATATCAGATAACCTAATCCCTTCCATCGATTGAATAAATGAATCAAAAAGAATACCGTATTACGATCGTAAAATTATGAATCAGAAGGCCAAATAAAAAAAAATTAAAAATTGTGTCGTGTCCCGCCCCTCATGGGCTACCCCTTCTTTAAATTTCGCAAACCAAAACACACTTTATCCTGTATAATCCGGACATCGTTAGGCAAATGTGTGCCTCCTGTCCTAAATACGACTTATAATTTATATAGGCCTACATATATAATTACATACATACATTTTATATATAGGCCTATACTAAACTCAAATACGTAAGATGTTGACTTTAGAAACACTAAAATTTATTCATGAGGGGCTCATGAGGACATACAGATAGTAAACCCAATCGGAATACCATAAACATCAAAGGAAGTATTTAAAGAGTGGTCGTATACTTATACGATGCGGGTTTATATTCTCTAGTTTAATGTTTATCACTGGATTCATACTGCGTCACCCACTCCGATTTACATTAGTTGTGAGATGAGAAAACTCACACAATGGTTCCTATGCGGCAACCATTTCCAAAATATAACCTTTGAACCTGACGAAGGCAGCGCTATTCTCTATATACAGCTGTCTCTTATACACATCTTCCGTTATTGTTAAATTTTGTCAATTGTTTATTCAGTAGATGTTATTGCAGCACCAAATTCTTTTTTTATTATTATTTTAAATCAATACAGTGAGGCCTATTGCCAGTTGTAGGCCTGTATGAAGTGTATATATTTAAAACCAACGAGTTAAAACATGGATAAACAAAATTACTCCGTGGTTAAACCATGGTTGAACCGTAGGTTAATACAGAGTACTGTAGTCCTAGAAATAGGCCGATAGCCCTAAGCGGTAGGGCGGTTCGGTTTTTTTAGCCGATGATGACGTCATTCTGCATTGTTTGCTCATAATTAAGGACAGAGTTTTAACCGTTCACTAATGATTCTACATCGTGAAGAAAGTGCAACCCAATGTTTTTTAGTCCATTGACAAAGAAGCGGTCTCGAGGAACAAACTCGATGCCTGTTGTGTTTGTATGGGTATAGTGGCTGGCGGAAAACTCATCCAGTGCATTTAGCACCGAGAACCAGAATATAAAAAACACGTCTCGTCTGCTGGTAAATTGGAAATATCCAGTTAATATTTGCTGTGAAAGTTGAATGGTTTTGAGTTCAGCCAACGTACTTTATTTCTGTTTATATCTATGTAATCTGCCTTCAGTAATTGGACCCGAGCCAACAATGATAATCTTCAATGCTCGCCGCACCACCACAAAATTTAATTATACATGACCATTTCAATACAACTCGCCTCACATTAAACAGAATATGTATTCGCATTTATTGGCTTCTTTTACTGTTTGTCTTTACTCAGGGTAGGAAAAGTTTACGAGAAGCCGAAATTGCGCCAAGTTGTTCATATAAATTTAATAAGTTGGTTCGAAAGTCACAAAGGCAAAATGAATAGACTATATCGTCGGCAAGCTGATGCGGCCGCTCTTCTAGTCCTGGTCTTACGACCTGTCTCATGAGGGGCTCATGAGGACATACAGATAGTAAACCCAATCGGAATACCATAAACATCAAAGGAAGTATTTAAAGAGTGGTCGTATACTTATACGATGCGGGTTTATATTCTCTAGTTTAATGTTTATCACTGGATTCATACTGCGTCACCCACTCCGATTTACATTAGTTGTGAGATGAGAAAACTCACACAATGGTTCCTATGCGGCAACCATTTCCAAAATATAACCTTTGAACCTGACGAAGGCAGCGCTATTCTCTATATACAGTGGTTATTTTTCCTTCAGCTTACGTACTCGCAATCCCTTTGATGAAAACCGGCATACATTATTATCACAAAGTGGGGATTATCTCTACTGCCAACCATAAATGCTCGTTTGACCTGAAACTTCCCTGTTGACAAATTAAGACCAACAATATTCCGTCGATAGGGGTCAATATTGTCCACCTTTTTTTTAATTAAAGAATTGCATCCAGCAATAGAAATAGATGTTAGATCCTGCCCATTTAATTGAAAATACGTTCATATGAATTTTCTGTGTTTTAGTTAGTCATAGAAATAATGATAGCGAACACGATAGTAAAAGCTCTGTAACGTATTTTTATGCGACGTTTCACGTTAAGTCAATTACCTATTTTGATGAATCGCACCGACCGATGCCTTTGATGCCGATTGGTGCGGCAAGCCTTTGTGACTACGTCACTGCCCTTTGGGACCTCTGGAGCAGGCGGGCATGTGCTTTGATGTTGTGCACTTTGAAACGCTCGGCTCAATAGGCTTCCCCACTGCTAGCGGCTGCATTTTTATTTGAGTGTGGATTCCTTATACAGCTTGTCGCTAATTTTCACTTCATTTTCAATGCAAATTCTGTCTTTAAACACATTTCTAACACTTTGGAATACTCGATAATATTCTGTGTGTCTAAGGTAAGCAACAACATTAAAATAATATTTGAAAATCTTCTTTGTTTTCCGCCTATTTCACGGATTATTATGTTATCGAACGTGGACGAGGCGACGCGACTGGCTTGGTTGTATGTAGTTGTAGGCAGTTGTTTCCTGCCGCTTTTTTAGTATGGAGTGACCGTCTGGCCTAGCTCTCCCAGTTAATAATAAGGTTGTTTCTGTATTGAGCTTTCTGTGTTCAGATTTACATGTGAGTGCTCATTGTTATTTATGACATATCTTATTTTATTAAGCGCTCGTTTTATCAGCAAGATGACTGAACAAGGCGGTGGATATCACAGGAGTTTCATCACTGCTGCTAGGCTAGTATATTAAGCAGCCTGGTTGGTGATGTGTTCGGTATTTCAAAGCAAAGCTCCTTGGCTTTGATGATTCTGACTGGTATTTTTGTGGCCGACTAGCGTGCTTTCCTTTTCACTTAGTAATATTCTTTCTAATAAAGGAAGATTTACTGTTTTGCCTCCGTGTTTTGAATGAGAAAAGTATGGGTAAGTAAACTAACCTAATGTTTTGGCGACGTTAGTGTCCCGATGCGATCATGATGATAAGGGGGGGCAACGTGTGACACTGACAACAGTTCAGGAGGAGGCCTAGCCCACCCAGGCCTGGACTGTCTTTCCGTATTCTAGACTATGCTTGACTTTCCAATAATCCACTTATCCAATAATTATGGTTTCTCATTAAGTTAATTAACCATTAATTAAGACAGGTAACGTCTTCGTGGTGCACCATTTTCATACCCGACTTGTTTGTAGTACATGTCAACAACTTTGTGGTGTTGCCAGAATCAGGGCAAAATTATGCCGTGGTTGCCAGATAAGTGGGCACTGAGCATGCCTAGTGGAAATAGTATGAATGTCACTCAAAATGTTATTCTACTTTTCGCTTTTATTTTATCTTCATCAAGAGAAATACATACTACAAAGTGTTACTATCGATATACAGAACCGTCCTAATTATTGGTTAATTAACTTAATTAGAAACCGTAATTGTGGAATAATAAGTGGCTTATATGAAAGTCAAAAAATCATCAAAGAACATCTTAGTGTTGAATAATTGCAAGTTATAAATAATTTGGTAACCGTTTCCAGGGCTAAATGCGAAACCGTATTAGCGCCCATTAGCCTAGGTAATGAACAGTTACAGAGTTCGATATGATCCAGAATTTTTTTTTTTTGTGTACTGAGAGCGCATCACCTTTTTTTAACAAGCACACCGCTGTATTAGGCCAACTACACATTAAACAAATGGCTTGAAAGTCTCATTCAAAAACACATGTTAGGTAAGTTATACTTCTGCTATCACGCAATAATACAAGTGGAGCAGCGATTGGGATTGAACCAGGGACATGATCTACAAATATTTTCGTCCTTTATCCAGGGAGTGTGTCCCAAGTCTCTTGGAAATCGGTACAGCCAGAACTCCCGGAAAGTAACCCTTCTCCCGCAAATTAATATTATTTGCATGTTTTCACTAAGTTATTATCAATTGTCTCGCGGAAGTCGGTGCAAATGGATATCAGCAAAATGAAATTAAATGTGTTAAGAAAGCTCTATTAACCAGGTCAACTTAGAATCCCTGTTTGTGCCCATGCTAATTAGAATGGTCCTGCAGTACTGTATGTCTACATTTAGTTGGGTGTACTGTACTGGCAGGCCATATATTTTTTTTCTTCAAAAAGTCAAAATCATTTTATGTTGTTATTGTATGGAAACATGATTAAAATCCTAGAATCACAGCAAAGTAAAATTAAGTTATTATAGTACTAGGAATAATACCATGACTGAAAACAATGTATGATTTGGTTGCCTTGGTTAAATTCCTACCAATTTGTTAATGTACAACGCCATGTGCTCAGTTTTATTGTCAACACACAGCAGATGATAATTGATGCCAGTAGCCATGCATAGCCAGGCCTACCGATGTACTGTACCATATTTCCAACCGAAGTTGTAAACAGTGCAGGGACTTAATTTTTGATCCTCTCACCAGGGCTTTGTCTCTTGGCCTACTGCCCAAAAAAATGTCAGACACCCAGTCCATACAGGTTGGTCGTTCCCCCCTCCCTCCCTTCAGAATATATGAATCCAAGAGCAACCACTGACTTAAAGTCAGGCTCCGGAGGAAAAAAAATTTTGATATGTTGTAGAACTGATTTTTCTAAGACAGAAAAAAGTTGTTTGACGAAAAACTGGGGAACGGTGAATGAGATACAAATTTTTTAATATTTAAAAACTGGGGGGGGGGGGCGTAACCGCCCTTTTTTACACCTTTCCCCCAGTTTTTAAATATTAAAAAAAGCGGTATCTCATCCACTGTTCCCTGTTTTTCGTCAAGCAACTTTTTTTTTCTGTCTTAGCCAATGCTTGAAGTCGAAACATTCAAAGAAAGCGTTTGAGAAGACAGTTCATATTCATGACATTGTGACATACTTCTTTACATAAATAAGTGATTACTTCTTTATTCATTGTGTTTGCTTCCACTTAACAAAGTATTTGAATATATTTAAAAGGTGTTGTCCATCCTTAGAGTGCTTGCCTGAGTCTGCGGGTGCCAGTAAGTAGTAGTTCAAGAACTGAAATCCTGTGTGAAGGGCCCAATTAAAATAATATTCTGTTGAAAACAAAAACATTAGATGGAGGTCAAAGTTCAGGAGAATTTACAGTTATGAAAAACAGTTCACTGCCGCTTCAGAACCCCCAAAGTATTCTGCAGAGGTCATTGGCTGCAATCAGATTTCCGGCTGGAAGGGTTTGATTGGAAAAAGGGTTTATAATCTGCAAATCTTCCCAGGTTGCGTTAAATAGAAAGAATGATATTGAGTGTTCAGCCAATTAGGTCAAAGCCAGCTCACGCTGAAAGACACTTTATACCGTTGATTAGTATATTAGTTTCGACATAACCCTTTTGCTTGTTTGTGAATGTATTATTTTGCATTCTGTCGATTTAAGGAGGCTGTTGATGTTTAGAACTTGATACCACAGATTATTTTGAACTGTAAATGTTTCCAGTTTATTTTTTATTAGACTATGAGCAAGGAAATATAATTATCAAGCCAGTATTGGGATTGCAGGGTCAATTGGTGCCAAGCATGGCAATTTTTACAATGTAGAATGACCTAAAAATTTATGCTGAACAACAATTTTTTTTTCTTAATGAATACTGTTCTTTAGGCTGATAAAACCAGATTAATCATCATGTATTTCTCCAGCTTCAAAAGATGTCTGGCTAAGAATGATAACCATCAGTAGTTGTATTGGTCAAGACAAGGCCTCACTGATAATAACCACACCACTGACTAAAGACCTTGGCTACAGATTTGATGAGGTTGATTGGAATGCCCACTGATTACATAAGAGGCCTACTGCTATCAGCGGTTCTAATTTGCATATTAAGCCAGTTAGTCTAGGTTAATTGAAGCATGTAGCTCCATGAATCTTTTTAATATCATACGCTGTGCAGTTGCTTATCAAGTGCTTGGTTGTTGGAGTATTTTATGCTTTTAACAGCCTAACAGTATGAACAAGTTCTTGTTTCTTTTTTTCACAGGCAACAGGAAATGTTGTGACGTTGATTAGACGATGAGTGTGGAAGTAGAGCGATTTTTGGCTGAATCCAACTTTCCAGAAGACTTACCGACTTCCCTGCGGCCTCCAGTGCCCGGAGAAGAAAATGAAGCAGACAGTCAACCGGGGAGCCTCTACAGTGGCAGTAGCAAGAGCAATACGTCTTCAAAAAACTCACAGGGTACATGCAGTAGCGCCACGCCTAGGAAGTCAAACTTACTGGCTACTGCGAAAATGAAAAATACAACGGACGAGGATGCTCCTTTGGGTTTTGAACCCGAAGGCAGCGACTCCATCACACCGCCATACACGCGGTGGACGGAGTCGCTGCATGCCTTACTCAATGACAATGATGGAATTAGTTTGTTTACTCAATTTTTAGAACAAGAAAAGGAAGAACATTATTTAAAATTTTGGCTTGCTTGCCAAGGATTCAAAATGCGAGATGAGAAAACTCGTTATGAGCTTTCAAAGCTCATCTGTAAAAAATTTATCAAACAAAATGCTCAGTCTGCTATCAAACTGAGTGCCAACACAAGGACTTGCATTGAGGACAGTCTGAAAAAATGTCAGGTCTCTGTTGACCTTTTCGACCAGGCTCAGGCCGAGGCTGAATCATGCATTCGTGAAAATTTGTATCCAGTATTTTTGAAAAGTGACATTTATGTGCAATACATCAATAACGGTGGTATGAGTGAAAAGACGAGCGACTGTAGTTCACCCTCGTCCAATGGTATTGTCTCAGAGAGATACCTACCGACGCTTGTTGAGGATGAGGAACTAGGAATTATCCATTCAGACATTGATGATTCAGAGTTGGTATCAAAACCGCCAACGCGGCTAACTGCCGAATACCTTCAGCAAACATCAAGACATAGACTTTTGCTTGGACATAATAAACGCCAAAGGAGGGACGAGTAAGTATTTAAAATTTTATTGCATTTTAATTCAGTTATTTCTCTCAAAAACACAGGAAAAATACAAAAAAATGATGAGACTGATGCAAAGAGAAACAAGAAGGGAGAAAAACAAAAAAGCGAACTAAATCAACTATTGAGTGGTTTCCCCTAGAATACAATAAAAATATCACAATACTGTATCAACAATAAAGAAATAACATCATTAATGTTCAAAAAAGTGCCAACACATCTATAAAATTGACACTTTTATTTGTTAATAGGCAGTGATGATTAAACCTTGTTAATTTTTTATTTTTTTTTTGTGGTAATCTTCAGATCCTATTAAAACCATGATCCCATATAATTTGAATATATGATAATTCTTTAATGATTTTGTTGTGACTCTACCCCTCTAAATGTTAATTGGAATACTTTAATAGCAGCAGTTGTAAATCAAGTCTTTGTGTTTTACAGTGTCTCTCCGATTTTTCTGAAGCTGTCCAGAATGAGTTTAATTCAATTTAGCCGGCATTCTTATAGGATTAGTAAGGCATGAAAAAGTTGCTTTTTATGCCGCGCAATGCTGTAAACCTGATACTCAGTATCCATTTTGCCAGATACCTAGCCCGGTTGGACGTGAACAGAATTAAAATAATTGCACGAAGCCGTCGCTGGCAGTACGGTGTGTCTAATGTTTGGCCGCCAGGGTGGCAAACACCAAAAGCAGCCATGTCTTATCTGCGTTGAACTGACCGTGGATATTTTTTGTTCCATAGAACAGATGTTTTAATTGGATATTTTGCAGAGAAATTTTAACTGCTAAAAATTTACCTGTGCTACATAATTCTTTCGCATTTAGCCTCAAGGTATTGCTGAAGAATGAGTCGGAGAAAGTTCTCTAATAAGCTTTTGGTAATCACCATTCCACCGGTGTGATTTAATAAACATGCTTTTAGTACAATATTTATAGCAGCAGAAGATAGACTAAATTGAGTTTTGCCTCACAAAATATCCCGCAGTTCTCTCTTAATGCTAAAATAACCCACATAAATGAACTAATCAGTGATATCGAAGGAAGTTTTTAATAGAAAAATATGAGGAAAGAGCCAGTAATAGATTATTATTTATTCTTATATACAGTTTTCCATCCCGAGAATTAAATTTCTCTGTTCATTGTACATCAAAGATAAAAGTTATGGACAAGGATCAAACATTGTCCTGAGGGTCACTATTATTTAAATTCTCCTATTTTCTACAGGTATTAATTACTAAACCCATTTTCTACCTTTTAGCCTTGACTCCTTTGCTCTCATCAGGACCAGGCACTGATGTAGTTTTTCAGTCATTTAAATATTATTTTTATAGGTTTCTACTTGCAGGCTTTTGTTCTTAAAAAAACTACAAACTTCAGGCTTAAGAAAATACACGCATTATACTGGTCTGCAAGTATGCTCTTAATAAATTTGAACATTTATGTTATAAAGCAGTAAGACGTCAAGGGTAGGATATATCTGGCATTCAAATCCGACAGTTTTGTGTATCTGCTAATAAATTTTTACTACTGAAGTTTGAGATGTCAGGTTTTGAGTGGTTTCTACATAGCTCAGCTGTGCTTACTAGCTGGCCAGATTTTTAGTGTTGGTGATAAAAGCAGTGCTCTGATGCCTTCATGGAGCCAGACTGGGCTATAAACCAAAGCCTAGGCTAGGCCGTAAAACATTCAACATACAAACACTCCACATTGCAGATGAATTGACAATGTTATATGATAGTCTGTTGTTGAGTAACAGAGAAAAGATCATATTTTTCCAATTATTGCGAATCAACGAAAATGAAATCCTGCACAGTAAATGAAAAGCATCTCAAAATATGTTAATTTGGAATTCCTATATAAAACATGCAAGTAACGCCATGCAAATAGAATGACAATATGCTGCTTAATGGAAATAGCAAAGATTGAATGTTCATATTATTGTATATAAGGTATATATATAGACAGTCTGTAGGAATGATACTTACTGTATTAACAATCATATCACTAATGTTCATATTATTGTATATAAGGTATATATATAGACAGTCTGTAGGAATGATGCTTACTGTATTAACAATCATATCACTAATGCTATATTAAAGCTAATGATAGTGAGCTAGGGTTTATTTTCTCTTTGTTTATCCGGTAATTGTCCATCTTCAATCTGTTTATAAGCTAAATTGTTTACTCTATAATTTCAAGTACAATAATCAATGAAACATGAATCAATTCAAATCTAAATTCAAAATTGTAACATATATACCAATAATAAATATATAAGTAAGGTTGATGATAATTTAACAAATATTTAAGCCCCCCTTCCCTCCCTCCAGCAGTGCATGATTAAAATATTAAACATGTGGCATGGCCTCCAAGGGTTTAACTTATCCTCTGCAAAAGCCAACTATTCAGAGTTTGACCTCATTTTTGCAAGATGCGTGGAGCCTTCTTATAATTGGCCTGGTAGGGGTGGAATGCTAGCGAAACTCCTCCAGGATCCAAGTTACTTCTGTTGTGAAACAAGTAATCTATGTTTTTCTTTAGGCTAAATCCCTTAATGAAAAATAAAAGTGACAGAAATGGTACCTGGTATCTGGTACATAGTGCAAATGTGGGCTCCTGTTGTTATCACTTGCCTTAAAAAAATTGTTACATTTTTAATATTCCATTTATTGTAGACCGGTGCTTCAAAACTTTTAAAGAAATATTTTGTGTTAATTTTTAAAGAGGTTTGAAAATGCCTAATTTTCAAAATCAATTTAGTACAGTATTAGAAATTTGAAAAAAAAAAAAATGTCTCGGCTGAAAATAACATACAGTACATACTAAGAAACACAATAAATTGTAAAAATAAAACAAAATATTTAAAACCAGTGAATAGAAGTTACCGTAATTGCTTGAATAAGCGCCGCACAAACATGATTTTTTTCGTTGAGTACCGTGGCGCTTCGTCTAGAGTATATATTTAATGTATACAGTGTTAAAATTAATAAACAACACAATGAAGACAAGCATTTATTATAAATATTTGTTTAGAATGATAGGACCTATGATAGGCCCACTGAACTACTATAGGTAACATGGAAATTTGCAAGGAGAGCGCCACACCAATATTTTTTTTATAAGCGCCGCTCTCAAATAAGTGCCGCACTGAAGCCGCCACAAATGTTATAAGCGCCGCTGCGCTTATTCGAACATTTACGGTAGACCTTGAATTATATTATTTTTTTACTATACAAAATTACATTTGATTTTCATTATTGAAAGAATGTTTATCAAGGCTTGGATACAGTGCCTCAAAGAAAATATAATTTTTTTTATTAATCTTCCAAGGTTCAAATTGGTATCGTTACCATCAAATCCAACATTAACCTACTAGTCTTTGTCCTCATAATATATAATAAGAGCAGATTTAGAAAAATCCGGAATCCAAAAGCTTTGACATGAAGTCTGATATAAAATAACACTACAATAATAGGCAGGTAAAATAGTGCTGGTATGAATAAAATTGTGGCAGAAAAAAACGAATCCATCATTTAATTTCTGTCAGCATTGTTTCTGACACAATTGAGAATCTACACAATAGATTGCCACTATGGTAGTCTTCATCCCTAGGCTGCCTGGACAAGGTATTTGTTTGTGTCATTTATTGTATGATGAGATTTTATTTAAATGAGAGTTTGCTTCCTTGTTCTTGCTGCATAAATAACTCATCCCTTTATTCAGAATCTCAAATCCACCTACTGCAATGCTGTGATAAGATGACAAACAGCTCATTTTAATTGACTCTTTTATATCAAATTTTACTGGCGAGGGAATTATATTACAATTCAGCCCAAATGAATCATTCATAAAATTTTACATTGTTTTTTTCCACCAGAAATGTACATACAGATCTTTGTCCTACATAAAAGGCTTTGCTTTACCTTAATTTCAACATTTATTATAGAAATTAATTAGGATTTTGGGTATGTTTTTGTAAGTTTCCTTTTTACAAAATACAACCATTCATAGATTATTGGTCTATAGAAAAAATATGTCAAAGTGTGTGTAGCTTGATCCATTACTAACGTTTTAGGCTAATCAAACACTTTTCATAGACAACTCAACCTCTTTTTTGTGAAAAAAACACTTAAGACACAGTGGCTGGCTCCATTAGTGGTAATTTATAATGGTATGTTCTGTAAATAGAACACACACACAGACAACAAGTAAAATATGTCAATTCAAAATGTTCTTGTATGAAGACTGAACACCCCCATGTTATTTATGGTACAAGCCAACAGGCCAGTGTTTAGTTAACTCACAGGCGGTGCCAACAGCATATAATGTGGTGTCACTTTCCAGATATTTGACCTAAGGTCATCCACACTTGGATCACCAACTCTTTCTACGTTTTCCTCATGGATAATCTACCAGAAATAATTTAAAACTTTATAGATACGTTGAGACTAATCTTAACATGTCGTTTTAGAATAAGAAATAAGTCACCTTATCCTAATTTACAGAACAATATTATACAATGAAATTTTTTCTGCAGTGTCATCATCACTTTGATCTTTTGAAAAGACTTTCTTTCATAAGATAAAACATAATGATAGAAATAGTGTGGGATGACAAATTGCTATTCACCATTGTCAGAATTATAGTTCATTTTGAATCGTATGCCTGTATATATCCATTTAATGCACAATGCAATGGTTTTAATTATATAAAAAAAAGTTTTTATAGCGGATGTCTTCGGAAAACATAAAAGTATATTGATGAAGCTTACAATGTAGAAAGTGAATTTAGTAGCCTTTTTAGTTGAAAAACAAACAATGCAGGTTGTTAAAGTTTTTCAATGGTTCATTTCTAGTACCGGCTTAAGTTTGTGATTGTTTTAATGAAATTTACATCTGATATTGAAGTATGGTTTCCAGTGTCATAAAAAAAACATTGGACATTAAATTCTAGGTCTCAAAGGTCAAGGTAATTAATTCTGAAGTCCACAAAGTATAGTGGGTGTTTTCTGATTGCTATGTCAAAGGTTACATTTAGCTTATCCAAGTCATGTGAATGAGTTTATTAATTATGGTTTAAATTATATAAGACCAAATGAATGTCACTATTTATATTCTTAGGTCAGAGGTAAAGTAATAATATGGTTTTAATTCCCAGGTCAAAGTTGACCAGTCCATTTTAGATTACCAGTATTATCCATTATGTAAACAAGATGGCAGATAAATGGATATGGGTGGTCAGTGAAAACGATTGTAAAATGGATAGAGTGTGATTTTATGGGTGTTGGACGATCACTCTAGTACGTGTTTCGAGGGGATGTAAGGTAGTTAAGAGTGAACAAATATTGATCTTTGATATGGAACTGTTTCAACTATCGATTCTAATGCTGACTTATCGTTTTTATGGTTGCTTTAAGTGTCGTGTAAACTGGTGTTTGGAGTTTTTTTAACTACCGGAGCCCTTGGGAAAAAAACATATTCATTATCTTCCTGTAATAAATTCATTTTTTGATAAGTGCTAATAAGAAAAGGGATTGGGGATTACCTGGGCTGAGACATGCTGGTTCCGAAAATCAGCTAGTTGCTTATTCGTTACTTATTTGTTGCTTATTGATAATAAGCTGTTTTAGTTTAAATGGAAGTATCTTCACAAACACTATAATTATTGTTTATTTCACCATAAGCATTATGCAAAGCGGGCCACTGATAAAAAAAAATGTGATCCAATTTTTCATTTTATTCCTTGTGTATAATTCAGTTATCAAGGCAAGCAATGTATTATTTATTACCTTTGTGTCTGCATGGCCACATTGCACCAATGACCCTCGCAAGTTATTGATTCTGAATGCCATAATTTTATTCTTGCATGCTTTAATTTTGTTTCTCGAATATTTAAATTATAATTTATGCTTTTAAGCACTTTTCATTCATTGTTGATTGCATTATTCTTGTTCTAGTCAATATTGCTCGCAACACATCAAGGCAAGCAATTTATTCCATCGACCTACTATCAGCTAAGCTACAGCACACCTCTGAACCTATCGTAATGATTCTGAACATGATCAACTTTGTGATTATTATTTTTGCATGTTTTTCTTTTAAATGTTGAAATATTTAATTTATGCCTGCAAGCACTGTACATTCATTGTTTTCTTTGTATTTTATTCTCGTTCCGTTTTTAGTCATTTCTACCATAATCGAGGCAGGCAGCCCATAAATCCCTACCATGCCAGCCTGGCGACGGCAGCGCCGGCCCAGTCGACTAATGATTCCGAACGGCAAAGTCTCTCAAGTGAGGCCATATCTGACGATACAATGTCTCTCACGGACTCAAGCATGTAAGTATTATAATCAGAGAATAAATCCGATTCCCAGTGAATGAAAAAAATCCAAAACAACAATTTCTTAGTTTATTGCTGATTTGTGCATGTGAAAATAAGATTGAAAATTTAATTAGTATAAAAGACATTTAGTAATTGTAATAAAATATTTTAAGATGATTCTGGAAAAAAATAGTAATAACCATAAATTTAACCATCAATTAAATAATTCCTAATAATATAAAATAAATAAAAAATAATAGTATTCTTGTTAAAAATATTACAAGTATAGTAAATAACAATAAATTTGAAACCAATCAAAGATTTTTTTTTTTTTGCTTCAATAAAAACATGCACAATATATTTTACTGAAGTTCAAGCGTGTCATTGTAACCTCATCAATTTGGCTAATTTGCCCAATTGCCTGCACAAATTTGTGTTCATAATATTATTACCCACAATTCATCTTCCATCATAATCATTGCACAGATCAAGGTTGTCATATGCTGTGTTTCTTATGTCATTCATTACCTCTGTGAATTTCAAAATTGCCATTGGTACTGAATTTTATATCAAGTCAAAAAAAAAAAAAGATCGACCTTAATAAGACTACAATCATTGCCTATCAACGATATTCATTTGTTATCCGCATTGTACGAAGAGAAATGGACTCAGGGAAAAAGATATTAATCGACAGAATCGAAGCAAATAAATCTATTAGTGAAATTATGTCTGGTTGAGTTAATATAGAACGAAGCATGTTTTGCTAAAACGGAGTAACATGTCTTAATATCTGTTAGCCGTATGATTAATCTGCCTCTAACGTATTAAACTCATAGCAGGTACTTGGTCTGAAGGGAATGAGGGAAAGAGAACGTTGACAAGCAAACAGAATATCTAACTGCGCATAAATCTTGCATTTTGTGCATGGTCGCCTCGGGCGGGCTCAGCCCCGGGGCTATCTGTCACCGTTTACAATGAACCCATGGGAGAAGGGGGTTTCAATGATTCAAGTTATGATTTACAGTCATTGAAAGACCCAACAAAAGCTATTATTCGCAATTTTGTGACTAATGAATTCTGGGAGATATTTACTGCATCGTGCAACAGTCTAGATTATTCAATATTAGAACATTAATTACTAGGCTGTGTTCACATAGCTGCATTGGCAGAAAATCTATCGGTGCTTTATTATCAGCTAAGCAGTACGTACATTTGTTACATCAATCTTTGTACGCGTTTCTTCCTTTACCTCTAAATGTCAGAGTGATGAATTGGTACTCTGAAGGGAGTAATTCATACTCACTTTTGAGGCAAAGTAGAAATTAAAATTTTCATCTGAGGTTAGTAAAGGTGATATAATAAAACAACGAGATTCTTTCTCTATAAGTATCGATAGCCACAGTTACCATTTTATAAAGCATCATCATGTCACCTGATATGACACATGCACAGTCGTGACTCTGGACTCGATCACCTATATTGGTAGCTCTATTCTAGGCCAAGCCACTTTTATTAGTTTGTGTTTCAATTTCCCCAGATTTTTCTTGGTGTTTTACCACCTGAATATTAAAAATAAAGAGTATCCTCTCCTTTCCCACCTCTCCTTCCTCACCTATTCCCCTACTTCCCCACCTCTCCCTCGCTTTCCTCAAAATAAAAAATCGACTTGGGTTTTTATGCTGACGTATCACGTAGTCCGGACAGGGGCTTTGCAGTACTGTGTGTCAGCTCTCAGCATAAAGTAGAATGATGGATCACAGTTTCATTTCAATCATTATTTTAGGAAAAGAATTTTAAAACCAACACATATGCGAGTCAGCCAGTTTGCTTGGGGGGGAAACAAACTCTCGATTCTTGCAGATTTTGAAATTCGGGCCTAGACCATCTGTCATGCTACTATGTAGTGAAGTAGGGGAATGAAAGGTTTTAGGCTTATTAAATCTAGAGCATGCGGGTAGAATAGTGGAATGGAACACCTTGAGTGTGTGTGTGTTTTTTTACAATGATTAGTGATATATTAATGGTTATGTTGGAAAAAATCGAACTTTACAGCTGTAGTAGTGACATTTATTTCCTGTTGATTGGCGGACTAACATACTTTTTAAAATTAAATTGATTAATTTCTGCAATAAAATTAAAAAGTTATTGAACATCAAGAATTTGTTGCATAATAAAATAATTGGAAATTTAAATATTTAATTTTTTTTTTTACTTTCCCAGACATACTTTGTTTATAATCACAACAGTGTGATTTAAAAAAAAAAATGTCATTACTCTTTTTTTGTTGCTTACTTATTAACTGATTTAAATGTGGATAATGAAATTAGATCTTAGATAAGTATTTCTGTACAGAACCTGAGAATACCTTTATTTAAAGTTAATAAGAAATCTTGCAGAATGCATTGTGTAGGTTTGTGGTGAACGATTGATACGATCTTAGATTTTGCCACAAATTGTATGACTGAGCATTCTAGATAACACTTCTTATTTCAGCCTCACCCTAAAAATAATTCAAAGGTATGTTTTGATCAGGCAATGCCGAAGAAAGCGCATTGTCTGGATAATGCCTGGAGGAAACCTTCTCCGTTGTACAGACACAGCAGTGTGGCCTAAAAAAACTTCTGCTAACACAAGGTCTCTATGGGTAGCTGCTAGTGGCTTTTGGTGTCATTGGAAATTGAATTGTGTTTGTGTGAGCTGGTTTTTGTGTACCGACTTTCCTTATTGTGAATAGCTGTGAATAAGAACCTGTTTATATTGCAATTGGCCAGCTTTGTAATAATAATTTAAAGCTTTTGAGTCGGACGAGTTACTGTGAATCAATCGCTATCTACTTTTCCTCAACACTCGCTACTGCAATTTTATTGTCCATCTGCCAAATCCAACTGTCTTTCTGAAAAAGCAAATAGATTGCTCTATTGTCGGCATGCTCTTTTTTCTTTTCTTCTCATTTTAATAAACCATCACATCAAGGCTATTTTGAAATGAGCTGCAAAATGAACTCACTAAATTCAGTTTTTTTTCCTAAGAATAACATGCAATACATCATTTTAAATTACTTGACATTTTCCCCCCTTAAATATATTTTTATGCGAATTTCAGGATATTCTTTAAAAATGCCATTAATTCTGTTGCATTATTTCCCTTAAAAATAAAATTGAAATGTTCATTAAAATTAATTTCTTTATTTTTATTATACTTATTATTTGAATGCTGCAATTTTGTACGTGAAGGATATTAAATTTTGTGATGAGAATTTATGTATTGCACAGTTTCTCAGTTGATTTGCTTTTACGATTCAGTTGCAATTTATATTTTTTTCAATTTCCTCTCAACTGCGAGTAGAGGAATTTTATACTGTATTTGATTTCACCATATTTCATATGTGGACATCTCCTAAGATTGTTCCTTTTACAGCGAGTATTCTCGATATTATTAATGTTAGAATTATTGCCATATTTAATGCGAGGAGTTTATCAGAATTATCAACATCCCCGGTTGCGCTCTGACGCCTCGTCCTGTCAATCCGATAAATTATGGATTTCTTTTTCGAGTATTTATTATACGAGATCACGATTCACGTGCTCGACATAATTCAGCGTCCGTGACAATCTCCCCTTCTTACTGTGTTCTGTTTTTTTACCGAGCACACTTCAGAAATTAATTCCATCGCATTGGGAACCACAGGGGAAATGTTTCCTTGCAAAGATTACCTTTTACACTGCTTGCGTTAAGATGTGTTCATTTAAAGATTTTATGAATTGCATGCAGCTTCCTGTGTCATTTTCACAAGCCTAGGGAGTCATACATAGCATTATTTTGAGTATCATAATGAAAAATAAAATATGGGTTTTAATTCATTATTTACAATTAATATTTTAAATATAATGTAGTTATAATCAGATGTGCTCATTTTATCATTTCTTGAATTGCAAGCAGCTTCCTGTATATTTTCACAATCATAGGGAGTCATATATATATATAGCATTATTTTCAGTAATATAATTTCCAAACAAATATAGGCCTACAGGTACAAACATCAGTTGGGTTGGTTGTAAGTGAAATTTAATGGCAAGTCCTGTGTTAATTTTCGCAAGCATAGGGAGTCGTGTTATATCATTTTCAGTAATATATGGAAACATCTATAGAATATGTAAATTTTAATCCAATATTGACAGTATTCTCAGAATTTAATATTTGAATAAAATATTATTACCAAGCAAATATGCAGGTACTTCACAAACATTGATGTGGGTTGGTTGTAAGTGAAATTTAATGGTCATTTTCATAGTTGTTCCTTCTAGACCCATTCTGTCGATTCTTTAGAATCAGAGGTATTCAGACCAGTATATTATACTGTGGGTAGACAATATTGCTTAGCAAGTTAAAATAAGCCTACATAATACAATTATTCATACAGAGGGTGAATAAATGGAGTTTGTCTGAAATGATTTAAGCGGAAATAATAGGGCAACAGAACTGAAAAATAATGATACCGCAAAACAAACAATTGGCTAACAATAAGGGGCAACAGTGAATGGATGTAGTTTATGATTGAAAAACCAAGTTAAATACCTACTTAGTAGGATGCATTGGCATATATGGGTGGGAGTTGGGGGAGTGGGTATTTAATCAGATTTAAAAAATCACCATTTCCACCTAATAATCATTAAAATTGTATAAATTAATCTCTGGATTCTCTTTTACCATTTGCCATCTAAAACCCTGCAGTAATTCTAATTCTTTGCAAGATGAACCGATTGCACAGTAAACGTAAATTTGCAATTGCTGAATATGTAATGTGTTTTACAATTCAGAATGTTACTATACAATTAGGAATACATTAATTTTTAACATTACAATGCTCAGATTATAGTGGAAAAAAATACCACAAGAAATTGTAAACACTTGCGTAATGTCATTGTTATAAGATGCATCGTGTTTAAGAACCCTTCACTTAATGCATTACAATTAGTTAATATACGGCTGCAAGATGTCCGATAAAGATCAGTTTGGTCGTGACAAAAATGAATTACATATTGTCTGTTAAAACCAGGCTCTATTGCCTGCAATTATTTTAATGCATTTCTCCACTATAAGTATGAACTTTTTACAGGCGATCATCATTAAGAGTCTTCTGGTCGTAACGGTTAATTTAGCCTCATGACTGTCTTTGTCGCCCTTGGCATGTTAGTTCTCTTGCTTATAATTACCCCGATGCACTCGCACAACCGAAAAATCCACTGATTGACAACCATCTCAACGTTTTTTAATGAAATAATATAATTATAGTACACATTTGCAAAATATGGGAAAAAAAACCAACATACTGTACTAATATAAAGGATGTTGTACATAATAAAAATGTAGTTGCACTTGATATTTAATGGGAATACAATCATCTTTTATTGGCCCTGTAATTAAGTTTTTAATGGAATCTTGGGTCGTTGCACTTGTATTCGTATCTGCGGACTTAACATTTCCGTGTAAATTCAGCCTTGTGCTCAAATTACGAAAATCGTTGTGCGCACCATTTAGGAAAATATTGCGTACCTGATAATATCGGAAACTTAATACTTCATGCATTTGGTTTATAATCGAAGTGTGCAGAGATCAATATAACAAACTGTCAATCATAATATTGATGCGAATAATCGTGCGATTGGTGTCGATAGAACAACGGCCATTGTGCCCTCAATTATTGATGGGTCCTGTCAACCGCTCTATATTGATGAGAGAGTATGATTGATGTGCAAACTATACGCAACATAAATGTCACACTGTGATTATTATTTGTTAAATGATGCCTGCCACCGTTCACAAATGATACTTTAGTGTTTTATGTCTTTAATATAGCATTTAGTACAGCTTGTTTGTTTAATGTGGGCTTGTGCTTTCTTGATTACTCTTTAATATTGTTCTTTTATTATTTCAAATAAACTTTGTATGAATTCAGAACTAGTTTAATATTCTTTGTTGTCTGCAGTATAATATAATAAATGACAGTGAAACTCATTTTTCTACATACATAAAGTTGATAAATTTATGTATTCTACAAATTACTGTTATATTAACTTGAGTTAGTCATTGGATAATAATAAAAACATGTCTCAGATATAGTGTATATTTTTTTGAAGCAAAAGGAGAAACTAGTATCTTGCCCTATATAAGAACTTAGTATCTTTATTGTTCAATAATAAAAAATATTGTATGTCATGATAAAACATCATTTTTCCTATCTAGATATCTTATTGACCAGTTAAGTGTACCGTGTAAATGTATCTTACTCGAAAATTGATCTACTACTAAATTTTTATACATTTTTTTTATTTTAAAAATTATAATTTTTGTTTCTTTTAGTGATGGACGGCCTATGTATCATCGGCATAACATGAAGAAGACTAAGAGAAATATGAGGAGGAATATCCAAGTCAATGGACACATACAAACTTTCCCACCATTACCAGTAAGAAGCACAATATTATACTAAGTGATAATCTAATACATTTTTCTATTTGCCCTAATATTCATCCAATTGTTAAGCTTAGTGCAAAAAATAATATATATTGTTGTTTCATATGTACACATAATGTGATTTTCTTTTAATAAGAATTTTTTTTTTATGAACTGTAGAATATATAAGTTATTAAAATCTGCTGCGCAAGTTCTAAACAGTAGTAGTCTAAAAAAAAAATTCATCTGGTTTCATAAAAAAAACAAAAAAAAAAGAAAAGAAAAAGAAAAACACAACAAAATAGCATTATAAAATAACAAATCAATATAGTAATAAAAACTCAATTTTATTGGATACCTTTTGTGTCATAATAACAATTTTTTTTCAAATTGAAATTTATTATTGTATTAATTTTTAAAGATAAAATAAAAAATTGGTATGATTGAAAGTGGAACTGTATAGGAAATTTCAAGGTTGGCTTTTAAACATTTATCAATTGAGTGGTCGTACACTCTGTTTAAGTTTTTCATGTTCAGAATTTATAGATCTGTTGAATAGCAATGCCACAAGCCAGCCGTGAAGCGAACGTGGGTTCGTGCTTCTTGCTCATTCAGCTAAATTTTAACTGAAGGTCGTGGGTCAGGGAACTGTGAAATTCTCCAGCTAAATGGAAGAATTAATTACAAGCAGTTGGCAGTCTGAATGCATGTTAATAAACATTTTTAGATGCAGTGAAATTTACAGAAATATAGATGGTTTAAAGAGTTTACTCTGATGGGACTGACTTCGTATATAATGTTATATAGGTGTTAGGATTACAGTAGTTGGAGATAAGTTTTAGGACTATACCTATCGCATCATATCTGCCACTGATCCACTGAGTTTTTGACTATATTAGACTGGTGTTATCATACAGTAGTGTTATTTCTTCAATTCATCATCTTTACTATGTTACTGCTGGTCATTCGCTCATATGCAACTGGAGATATGAGCAATTTTCAATTTGAAAGGAGTGGAGTTATTTTTAGTTGTGTTTTTAAGTACCTGGAAGGATTTGAACCCAAGACTTCATCTGAACTCCAAATGTAGAGATAATATTAAAATTTTGCTTTGTTAACAGATTGCTTAATATGGCTTAAGAAATATGCGGTTTATTTGTAGAGAAGAGTTGTTCTTTAGCTTAAACATTTGTCCTTTTGTGAATTTGTTGTTAGATTAAACAAGTTATTCTTTAGCTAATAATTAGCAAGGACTTTTAATTGTTCAAAAAGTCCTTGATAGTACAGAATAAAAACTGTAGCATTTTTCGTCTTTATAAGTTGCACAAGGTAAACTGTTATGTTTTTTTTTTTTCATGTGTGATTACAAATAATAAAGGGACAAATTTACAACAATTTTTAGAAAGTACTGTATAAGGCAAACTCTTCAGAACCGATAAAAATATCCAAACAGCTTGACAAACAGGCAAACAGACAGCTCTTCAAGATAGACAGGTAAATGGATTGTCAGAAAGCAGACTACAGAGGCATAGTTACATAGATCGCAAATATTGATCAGCCGTTAATGACTCTCACAAATGGAGAAGAAATATTTCATGGTAAAGTTATGACATGTTGTGTTGTCTGTTAGTTGAATACTTAGACCCTGTTGGATTACGACAAGTGAATTATCAACTGTAGTTGTCAGGCGACGTAGCCCGTGATCGACAGAGGATAGCCACAAGAGCATCATCCACATCAACAAAATAATACTTGCGTTAACATTCGTTTTTTGTGCTGCACAGCATGATGGGAAAGATTTGATCTATACAGTATGTTTTGGATTCTTGAGGTACTGTTGATAGTATAATGAGATGAGGCGTTTTAATACCCTTTAATGATATGGATCGTCGTAAATCTTCCGAGTATAGGCAGAGAGAATTCCGTACAAATTAATTTTTATGCCTAACGTTTGTTGTCTGCTTATACAACGGTTAATTGATTCAAGGTAATTCCTAAGAGCTAGCCAGAAAATACAACTATATGAATTGGAACGATTTTTTTTGCTGTTAATACAATACGTTTAAAAATATGAACGTTTACCCAAAATGCCTCAATCTTGATAAAAAATACATGAATCCGAATTATGATTCATGATATTAATTGAACCTTAAGGAAAACCTGCCAAATTGCATTTAGGAACGTGACATTTATGTTACTCCTCGCGCATGTGACATTAGCATCAGCGTACCCTCTGGCCAGTAGTCTGTGAATGCTACGTATCGAAATGGCTAAAGAGGAAGAGGAGTAGTAATCGAATTCATCTTGAACGTAATTACTGCTCAGATTTTACAGACTCGGTTGACGTCGTGACAAGATACTTCATGTTGCATTTTTGTTCTAAAATTTTGACATATTCGATTTCATTCTTATGACGGATAACCTACAAATTTCTTTGCAGTTTGTCCGTTCTACTTATGCCTACAAACTTTTTATCGTCAGAAATTGTATTTGTGAATTTACGAAGTATTCAGATATATTGTTATTTATGTGCAATCTGCTCTAAATTAATATAATTACGAACCATAGAATTTATTTAATGGAAAATTAAGAAGAAAATCGAAAATGCATTTTGGGTGGTAGTCTTAAGGACGATAACCTCATATTTTATAGATTTTTTTGCCATTTTAGTTATGTCTACAAACTAGAGTAACGAGTTTTAAATTTTCTACGCAAATGCAGAAATTATTCCTTTTTTTTCTTTTTTTCAACTTCATTAATATACAATCTATTCTTAATTAAATTGATAACGAATAATAGATTTTTCATTGAAATTTAAAAATGAAATTGAGAAAACATCTTGGGTGGTGTCCTTGCCCTTGAGTAGGACACAAAAAATGAGAATAAAAGAATATTGATTTTTATCCAAGAAATGCTAGCAATTATCATGAACACGTTTATACAGTAAGTTCGAAGTTCAAAAAAAAAAAAAATCCCTCATTTTTTCTTTGGGCCACCTAGAAAACGACAGAAAATTATTTATAAATCCTTGTATATTTAAATGAGAATGACGTCTTAGAACATGCCATACCTAGCGACTATCTGTGTGTATGGCTTCTATCAGGCTTATTAGATACAGTTCCGTGCGATGGATCTGTTTGAATAGTGAATATAAAGGCAGTTAGAGGGAGGTGATGGGAAGGGGAGGTGACTACCTAATCCTTTTTATTAAAAAACATAAATGAGACATTTTGGCCTTGCAAAAACAACACAATAAATGTTGTAATAAAATATGTTGTAATGCAGGTACATGGAATCTTCCAATTTTAATAATACAGTATTAATAAATGACATTTTATATCTAATATGAATGGTAGTCCCAGTAATAATACAAATAAATGTCTACTGTTTACAAGGTCAGACACGAACAGTAAATACATAAGACAAATGTCTCGGGAAGTCACATGATCAGCACCTATTGTGTTCACCTTCATTGTTAAGTTGCTTATATAAACAGTTTGCTTTGGTGGAATGGCTTTTCTTATTAAGCAAAGGTTCTTAAGTTCTTTTGTTTCATAACAGATTAAACAGTAAGATTTGTTTTTGCCTTTTCACAGATTATTGAAACGCTGTACAATATCACATGATGTTGTTTTAAATGATCATCAGTGTTTGCTTTGCGTAATCACATTGTAAAGATGTTGCCAACTGTAACCAACAAAGCTTACACCTCATAATCATAAACACCACATATTAATATTTCAAAATCAGAAAAATGAATATTTTATCATTGTACTGCCGACATTAGGTTAATCCATAAAATCTCATCATGAATTTACTTGTTTTTGCAGTGCCCTAGACAACCAACAAAAGAAAGTCGGCAACTGTCGCCAGAAGAATTCGTCCGTCAACTCACAGAGAAACTAGAACGTGTGAAGAAAGATCGAGAAACGCAAGAACGACTTCAAGCCAGACTCAAAGAAGTTGATGTGAGTTTTTGTATTGTATTACGGCATTTATCTGTGTGTTTGCGTGAGCATTTATGTTTTACATTCATTGTCAAGAATGTTTTTGTAGTTACGGCTAAAACGTCTCTGATTTTACAAATCATGAAATTTAGAGGCCGGTGTAAAACGCCAAAGTATTGTCATCCTAGATGGTGGATGGATCGTAAGTTATTGGTACACTTGCCACGTCCTTTCTGTCAATTATCAATGTTTGACTCGGGATCTGATTCTGAAATTGTTCTATGAAGATCTAGCTTTTATTTCACTTCGAAATTAATTCAAATTTGATATTCAAATGTCGTAGACTTAAGTAATTGTGTTTCCATAAGTTATGAATAAATTTTTTGATGCCCATCGTTTTTAATTCCACCTCGCTGTCTCATTACTAACGGCTTGATAACCGTTCGACTAAATTCTGATTCTGTTGTCTTCTTTTTGCGAAAAAATCTTTCATATTTGTAATTGCTTTTGTATCGGTAAATTTGTCGCAAATGATGTGAAATTCAAATGCGATTATATACATCATATCTAATATTTCTTCTAATCATTTTATTAGAAGGTTTGAGAAAGATGCCTCGAGTGAGCTTAGAATTTGCCTGATGATTACTCTTACTATTTACCATAATTTCACTTCGATTTATGAATTATTCAGTTCTTTGTATGCTTTATTTTATTATTTTAGTTATTTTATGGTACCTCTCTCGCTATTTCAAACTGTGTGGTGTATTAACAAATGATTACGTTGGTTATTTTAACAAATGATTACGTTGGTTATTTATGTTGCAAATCTTTTGAAAAGGCATATCTTAATGGATTTACATTAATGTATTTTATTGTTTAGCTTCTTAACGAGATTCGTGACCATGTAAGGTTTGGAAATATAGCGTGTTTGCCTTTTTATGACTTCAATAAACAGTTAAATTAATACAAGAACAATAAAGGTATAAACATTGATTTACGGTTAACATTTGTCTGAGCAGTTGCCATAGTAACTGATTTGGATTCCCAATTGTAAGGGGGCTTAAAAAGGCAAAACTGTCTATTCACTTATTGCCCTTAGCCAAGCAACTTAAATTTACTTGTATTATTTACAAAAAAAAGTGTAAATAATTTTGTGTTCAATGTGCTAACTACTTCAACAATCAATCACTCATCTTTTTTCGATAGCAATACAATGGATACACGAAAATGATTTATGACGTTAAAAAAAAATAAATGAAAACTATACATTTAATAGATTTATACCTATTATTTAAGCTCGAAGGTGCTTACTATATTTTATTATATTATAAAAAATATAAAATAATTTTATTTCCAAGGTTTTTAACTATGGTTTGCTGGGTCAAGCATTGCCACTTAATATGATACATGCATATTCCTTACGATAATGACATTTTTATTTAAATTATGCCCTTAATTATACTTTTGTTATTAGCATTATCATCATTGAAGGTCGGAAAATAAAAGTACATTGCATTGTGTTTGTTACCTAACAATGGTGCATATTAAATATGCCAGAACTGTCTCGCAGCATGAAACATTCTTTCTGCTGCAAAAAAAGTTCATATTAAACAGTGTTCAAGAAGACGAGATGTCGATTGTGCGGAACAAGCCTTGAGGCTTGATGATTGGAAATTGTTAATATATGTAAATGTGTCAAATTTGATACTGCTCTTTAGTGCTAGTTTTTAAAGTGGATAATCAATCGTCCTCATCTGTTGCAATCGGGGTGATTGATGGCTGTCAGTCATAAACGAGCGATCTTTTGTGCGACGGAGAATGCATAGTTGCCAGTTTGTCGATGCAAATGTTTCCTTTTTGGTGTTGAGAAAGTTAATTAACATGTTAAATTACAATTAATAACGCCATAGTTAAAGTGAAATATTATGTTACATTGTTCAATATACTTTATAGTTTTAAGTTGTTCTTGTTTAATTACATGTTGTTTCTAAACTTCTGCTAAAATAAGTATTTTATTTACTTTCTAGGAAGTTGATGGTGTAATTTCTGAAGATAAAATATTAACTGGTCTTAAAACATTTGACGAAGATCCCTCAAGTATTTTGGATGACCATTGTGCTCGTGTCTTTGAGTCACGATCTCTGGATCAAACGCCGAATAGGCGATCGCCCGGTCATATCACGCCCAAATCAAAATCACCGGAACAGTTCCACAAGCAAAAACTGGCGTGCAACACAGGCCCGATTTCTCAAGTCCCTACCAGCGCAGCTGCATCCATTAAACACAGCAAGGTTTTAACGAAAACAAAGACAAAGGACGTTACAAACACTGAAATTTCTATCCCTTGTCCTCATTGTTGTTACGACCGTGAACATTGCCCCCAACATGGATATGAGCATCGGTCACAATTGTATGTATTTTCTTTGCACGGCAAGAACAAGATACCAGATCAGATCGGAACGTATCCTGATGATATCACGCACTACTACACATCAAAGTCACGTCCTGAAAGCACGCGCCTCCAACAATACTCATTCACAGAATCACGTCATAAACGTGAGAAACAATCTAGCAAAAAGTCTGATATTTCATGCGCCACAAAAACAACCGACAGTGGAATTTATGACGGGACATCATCGTTACCATCAGATGGTGAAAGGTATGTGTATATAATTTCATATGTCATTTTTTGTCTTTTATATATAATTTTCTTTTTAAAGGTGTGCAATGTACGGTGTTATTGTAGCTCGCCTTTTTTCTAATCTGGGAACTATCCTAATGATTGTAAATAACACAACAAATATAACAAACATGAGACTTAAAAATCGACAGAAAACCTCAACAAAACTGACAAATTTCTTTGTCTGAAGGAAAAGAAAGACAGAAAAAAAAATCTACTTTGAAATATCTGTAAGTTACATGTTGGATGTGATTAAAGTGGAATTCTATCCTTCCTCTGCAGTTGCATTTTACATGTTTTTATATTTTGAACATTACACAAAAGTCAGGAGATCAATCTGATTTAGATTAAGAAGAAAAATTATCGGGCTGTCACAGTGTTTCCTTGAGGTCAATTCCACAGCCTAGTTAAAACGCTTCAAACTGAGTTGGCTACATGTTTTGTATGAGAGCCTTGGGTTTGTCTCGTGTGTCATTTCTAAAAAAACTTAAACTGTAGTAGATCCTATTTTGGTATACTTATCTAAAGAAATGAAATTAGAAAGACTTAAAAAGCGTATTTTAACAATACAATGAATGATTCGTATTTTTCAGTATTTTTATAATCAAAATGAATTTATATATTGATTGAAGATTGTCTTCCTGAGATATAACTGTATGTTAGAATTGAAAACGTTTTAAATTTCAAATATGGCATTAAAGATTTAATTCTAGTCCATTGTCCCCCTCGTGTAGTAGAGATGTACGTGCCTTAACAGCTGCAGTTGTTACCAACACGCAACTAATTTATATGCGCGATGGTTGCATTGTGAATTAATATTGCAAGCAATGGCTGTAAAAGGCTCCCTCTCGAGTTCTTTGTTAGTGGGAGGGTTAAAACATCATGTCGTTATCTGCCCATTGGGTATCGTAAGGCGAAGGCATGTGTAGCTGGTATCAAACGTCATACTGAATGTCTGAAAGAGGAAAGCTTATTTCCGCTAATCAATATTAAGACTTCGTTCGAACAATAGCATTGTAATTTTTTTTTATATCATAATTTATCACACAGACTTTTTTGTGATTTTATTTATAGCTTTTTAACACTAGTTTAATTTTTTTTTTTTTTTGTACAGGAACAAAGCGATAGTCCAGTGGTTGGCTGAAAACGAATCATACCGATTGAAACCTGCGCAGAAAAATGCAAAACGAAGTGTTCATAAAGTCTCTGAAAACCAACCAAATACTTATAGTCATTCACAGAGGCATAGGTAAGTTAATATTTGTTAAATTAAGCTAATTAAAACAAACTTCACAATATTTTCTTTTTAAAAAAATACAATTCAGAATTTTCATTCCAAAGAATTTGATAAGTTGTATTACTGCTAAATGTATTAACTACACTTTAACCTGTAATTATAGTAGCATACAGTAAATAGCTAGCGTGCCTGGCATATTTCATCATAGACAATAAACAGACATAAACGTGACAACGTGAAACTACGTGATGCACTAAATATTTACAAAAAAACGTATCGTCCATCCAAATTGACGGCAATTTTCAAAAGTACAGCCCAATGAAAAAGGAAATGGAATTTTCCAGTTTGCGAATGCAGCAAGATCATTAATTGGACCACTTGACCCAAATGATTAAAAATTTCCCCTTCTTGAGTGCTGTTTTCCTGTTTTGCTAATTTTTGCGCTTTTCATCCAACCGACATTGTGTGAAAAAGTTCACTGCGAATGTACCCCAAATCTTAAACTGTATTTCTCAACTCATTCATCTTGGATAAAGACAAATCTAAATGTTTTATCATCGCCACGGCAATTATAATAAATTATGTTTTATTTCCCTTGAGGTTTAGCATCGTTTGGTTTTATGGATGAATTTCTTGTCAATGTTGTAATTTATGTCGTTTATTAACAATCGTCTTGCAGTTTTGTATTATGCTCAATTAAACAATAATTAGTTATACTAGAGGTGATACTTATATAGAATCTAATATATATTTCTTGCTGCATTTAACTTTCATATTGAAGATTTATACTCTACTATAAAATGTTTATTTCTTCGTAGTAATTCCGCCATGTCGAAGAAGCCAGTTGTATACAATGCAGCTAGGCCGAGTGTAGGTCACAGTACGTCCAAACGCAGCCAGTGGGCTGGGAGACCGAATCACCCCTTCATGCAGGACATGTCTATGCCCCTAAACACACCCCCTGAAACAGGCACAGTGTTGGAAGAGGCCCGCCGCAGAATCCACTGTGATGAAAGACATCGAAAGTAAGAGTCAAAGCATAAAATTTGTGCATTATAGTTTTTTAAATATTATTTAGTATATAATGGTATTTTATTCAAATTCAAAATTTACAAAAATGTAAATCTTAAATATTTTTATATGAAGAAAAGTAGTGTGTTAAGCCTTGTATGTTTAGAAGAAATCATAATAGAAAATTTGCTCTTAAAAGGTGAAGTTAAAACGTTCCTTTTTAAGCATAATTTTTCTATTAATGAAAATATTTAAATATAAAATCATATATTATTATTTAAAATTTTCCATCACAGCAATTATTACCATAAAAGTAATGATAACTTTAAGTAATAACTTGAAATTATAGTATAGCCTAAAGAAGTAAAAATAAAATGCTCGCATTCTGAATAATCCGTCTGTAATAACCAACGAATGTCTCTTTTTTTTAGAAATCAAGAGGTACGGCGTAGTAAACCACAAGTCAGCAGCTTTTCTGGAGATGAACAAGTGGCGCACGTATCATCCACGTAAGTTATATGCATTGAATAAATAACCATTTCCTTAGAGTATTTTTAAACATAGATATATTTGTACAAGCTATCCAATGATAACATAAATAGAGAAGATGGAGATACATTTTTATATGGAATTAATGTTGAGATATAGAAATGCTGAATTATATTTTTTTCATCCCAATGTTATTCAATATTAAGATGTGTAAAATACAGTTTTGATTGCTCTACTAGCAGTCGAGCTATAAGACCAGGATGGCATACTCCTTTGATTTCACTAAGCAATATTTTTTTTCATAAAAAAATTCTATTTAAAACCAATGTCGACGATTTTACTATATTTTTTTAATCTCAACACGATGGCGTTCACTTCAATACATAGGAGTATGTATTATACTTTCTTTACTCTATTGCATACGTGTGCTTATGAAATTTATGATTTTTTTTTTCTTCATTCAGACGCACATCTACATCAAAGGCGAAGAGCAACACTTCTACGAATACTACCGCCAATAAGAATTTGGACACAATAACCGTCGCATACTACTTTTGCCACGACCCTATCCCATACCGTACAACTTTTCCGCATGGAAATGTAACCCTCGCTCAATTCAAACTCTTGATTTCACGGAAAGGAAACTACAGGTAGGCTATTAATATTCAGTTAGAACACCAATTCATTTGTAATGGAATAATCCAAATGGATTTAGCGTTTGACCAGCTCAATTAATATTTATTCTGTTATATACAAGTTAGTAAATTCACTCTTTAATTTGTTAGTGTTTTTCCTTTGTGATAAAATAATACTTACTAACTATCATAGTCTAACAAAAATTTAGTAAGTAAACAAAATTTTAATGTAGGTAAATGTACGGTCCTTGAGAAAATAAAGATATTATTTTGCATCCTTGCACTCTTATAAGTGTATTAAGGATTATTGAAGGAGCTAATTGGACATAACAACCTAAAATCTATTAAGTTCATTGGCCTAATGCCGTGCTGTTAGAATGACTCAAGCGACTAGTATTGTTGCATGAACAGTACAGTAAATGCATGTAACGCATGCTGCAATAGGAGCTAATCACAATCTAGAGGATCAGGATGCATATGTTCTCAACAGTTAGAAATGGATGAATTCTGGCTAAATCATGTTAACTATTGAATTAAGCTATAAGGCAGAGAAATAACACCCTAATTTTTAACTTGTGACTGTTCTTCACGCTTCGCTGCTTGGACAGGGAAAAGTGCAAATTATTATTACTAATTATAGTTTAGGTTTTGATGCGTTGAATGCGACAATATGTCCCAATAGTTCGAAGTATTTAACAGAAAATAGCAACAAAACCTCATTTATTTGAATGAGTAATAAGAGGTGTATGACAAGCACGATAATTCCGCCGCATTGCTTGATTCGTGCGCACTCCTTTTAGATTGCGCTAATAAATTGAATTTCCTGTAAAAAGGTAATGCAACGTTTTTGGTTGATATCATTGATTTTGAAGTCTAAACATCTGTTCGGCCTTAGACACAATGATTCGTCTAGTATCTATAAATGCTTCTAAATGGAATCTTCTTTTGTTAATTTTTTGTTATCAGTTTTTTCACCCCATCATATATCGTCTTTGGAATGTTGGAAAAAAAATGTGGTAATTACCTTTTTGCGAAAGGTTTTATAGCAGACTCTGATTTTTATCTTCCTTTGTGTAGAACAAACGTAGAAATTCTTATTGCCGAAAGTACTTGTTACTGTTTTCTGAGATATTTTTCTGTTTCCGTTTTAAATACCCCAGTTAGAGGGCGCTTTACACAATCAAAAAGGAGAATAGTACCCTACTTAGAAATTGTATTTTCACGATAGGAAGCAGTTTACTACCCTATATTGTCCGTACGTGTTGCCATAATCGTAAAACATAGCTATTTCGCTAATTTTCTCCCCTTCGGAGTGCTAATAACATTATTTAGCTAATAAAGGAGTGTTGCGTAGTGAGCTATATATTGGTAATAGTTGTAAACTCTGTGGATAGATTAGTGGGTAGTAATTTAGCATACTTTCGCCACATGTGACATATTTTTTTCATTGTGTTATGAATTATCATTTTAGTAGAAATGACTTGCATTGAAATTGATTGTTTATTTTAATGGTATCTGTCATTGCATGGTATATTTGTTGATATATATTGCGATCATATTTACTATTTAGGCCATAAACAGTATAAATGAATGTATTTTTAGAGAAGCAACTGGACTTAATCCTAGGGTACAACCTTAAAATATAAACAAACTATGCATATAAAATACCTTTTTTTTCTGGCCTTGTATTCCTCCAGTAAAACAACCTGGCCGAGGCCTCAACTAATGTGTTACTGAAATTGTTTGTGGGCTAGTAAAACCTACAATTAAAATGCCCTGTGGAGTAGTTTTGAAAGGAGCCAAGACAAATCTTGTTAAATGCCCCTAAATATACACAAAAATGATGTTGATCCAAAACTCAAATTCATCTCCAAGTGTTCGTAGTATTTTATATTTTATTTCTTCAGCTGGCTCTAACAATCGAGTATTTGCTATACACACACATTAATATTGTGTTCAGTATATAACATGAGCAAAACCAAATAATATAATTTTTTTTTTTTATTGTTTGATTTAATATATTTCTAGATTTAAGATTTTATTGTTATTTGAACCAATATGGTCTACTATCTACATGTTTAATATTTTTTTCATATTTCCATAAAAAAATAATATTCAGGTTTTCAAACAATTTCCTGATGAAAAACACTTCATCAATATTTTGTTGCACTAATAAGTAGGCCTAGCGTAAGTGATTTTATTGGATTAGCCTGGTTGAATAAGTAGTGTTACAGAGCTCTCACTTGAAGCAGCCAGGACTTGTGGCTGCCTTTGTCTGATGCCGATCAGGATTGCAGCTTAGCTCTGGTCGAAGCTCCAGCTTCATTGTAAGGTCTTTCCTTAGCTTGGCCTAAGCCCCTAGAGGATGTGAAGGCTTTTGCCAAGAAAATTGATAATTGCCTCGCCATTGGCTGCCAGCCGGCTAGCCGGGCTCTTGCAATGGGACTGTGCTTAGGTTTTGCCTGCAACATGATCAAAACCATTCGACATTGCTGGAGCTTAAACCAGGAATCAAAATTCTCGCCTCCCAAGGGTAATATGAAATTACAGAAGAGAGCTAGACAGAGTAAATTGAATTTCTCTTACAAGCTTGTATCAAATTGATATCAAAAGTAGATTCATTTATGAGAGAAACAGATGTATTTGAAATTACTAACATTATAAATAGAATGATGATAATGTATGAAATATATTGAAGAAAAGGTAAAATATAATAATGAACATTAAGAATGTATTTAACATCTTTATTTTTTTCTGATATAAGATGAAAGCACATAGAATTGTAAAATAATTTAATGTAATAATTACATAATATTATATAATTTTTTAGCACTTTTGTTTGTTATATTATTTCCTCTGTTACATTATTACAAATATAAATGCCTAAACAGTTTATTTTCTAACCCGCATGATATTTTGATAATTTTAATCTGACTTGAAGGTCGGGCTATTTCTGTGAAGTGAATGAATTATTACTGTCTTAGCTGTTAGTCGCAGGTCAAAGTTGACGTTTCTAGGGCACCGAGCTGGGCCTCCTAGTGTGCCCAAGTATGGCACCATAGGAGAGCCGACTACATCATAAAGGAGGCCGTGTTTTTATTGTAAACAGTCCGACTTTAAGACCAGGAGCAACTGCTGGTGGTCTCTTTTGAGAAAAGCGACTTAACAGTTCCTCTTCTGAGCTGTTTAACAACTGTATCCGATTTTTAAAATAGCAACTTTGAAATTGTTATACTGTAGTAGATATAGATCCTTTTACTACGTGATGGTCTACGACTTATCATTTTGTTAATGTATTCGATTATTAATAAACAATTAGCTCGCTGCATAGTATTCACGCCCTTCAATGCCATTTCATATCCCTCATGCGTGTATGATCTCATTAAAAAAACATTTCTTGAACCTTATAAGATGCAATTGAGCAGGAATAAAACCTTGACTCTACTAAGTGCACTCTTCTTTAAAAATTGATACTTTAAATTACTCCGATAAAAAAAAATGTAATTCACCACTATTTTTCATTGCTATTAATAAGAACACTCATACAAAAAAACTGTTGACAAAGAAGTAATTAAGTGCCATAATTCATACTGCATGTTTAATTTAGTATTTTCTAAAAAAAAATTTTATAATTCTGATTAAAAATTAATTATAAGTGTGCATGCGTAAATACTATAGCAATAACTCATATTTTCTTAGCTTAACGTCAATGAAATTCGATATTATACTACACTTGAGGCTAAATGAAGTTATTTGATCATTATATTATTTTTATTTTGGCAAGCTAGCATTTCATTTTTCAGCGTCCAGTTTTTTTATATAAGTATTTAAAAATGTGACTTTTTTTTTTTTGTGAGTCATTATTTTGTGGCCTTGTAAAACAGATTTCAAGATATTATTTATTTGATGAATAAATATCTTGCAATTTATTTTTCATTGCATATCCTAAATTGGAGAGATAGGTCTGACTGAAGGAGGATAACATTGGATTTCTTAAAACCATTTGCTTGTATTTTGATAATTTCAGTAAAATGCTGAAATTTTTTTTTTCAATTTGTGTTTACCAAGTAAATCCATTATTTTGATAGATTTTGTGATTGTTTTCATGAAGGTATATTATAGTATATTGGAAGAAAAATGATTATTTTATTTGATCCAGATATGAAAATTAAGAAAGTTATTTATTGTTTTTATTTAGATTCCGTAGTGTTGTAGTTGTTTCTATGTGAGGTATTGCAATAAAAAAAAAATTAATTTTGTTAAATATTGCAACCAATAGAAAATCAAAATTTGCAGACTGTAGTTAATAAAGATAGCTTCAATCTCAATGTCATAGGTGGGACCTACATTTAGTACAGTGGTAATGATAATACAATAATATAACACAGATTTAATATAGCACCTCTTGTCAACAATGCTTCTGTTCTTTTGATATTTATCTGTATAGAAATCTACTAGTAATTTTAAATCTATTTTGTCAATACAGTAGTTGTCTTTATTATTTTCTGCAGGAGAATTAACAATACACTTTGGCAAAGTTAAGATGGTTGGTCATAAAACCTGCCAGGTTTTATAAACGCAAACGAGATAATATGAGCTATTTAGGGTTAGGAGAATAGCGTGTTGGTAGTAGTATTCGCCTCCAGGGAGGTTGTGCAGCGATGAGGTGATGCTCTCTGATACAGCTCTCTGATACAGGTGTATTGAATAACATAGGCTCTTCTGAATTTCACTAGGTTGAGAAAGGTCAGTGAACAAGGGAATGGCATGGTGCCAGTTGGCTGAGTTTGTATGACTGTTGAGGGAGACTTGAGAGCTTCCGTGAGAGGCGGCAATTCTTGAGCCTAGACCTGGGAGGCATATTCTACACTGTGCCATACTCCTAATACATGTGATTATACATATTGAAACACTAACCTCCAGGTTTTATCTAAAGCAAAATCTCAGGCAGTTGGCGTAATAGGAGATTCAATGTTGTAAATTAGATTTTTTTTTAAATTAAAGGAAATATATTAAGGATATTCTTTACTGTATATATTTAATGAAAAAATATGTAATTAAATATTTTTTATTAAATAACATTAATGTGATTATACAAAAATTACGAAGGTGACTTTAATAGCTACATCAATAAGCATGGTTAATTTGCATAATTTAAATATATTATTTAAAAAATCATATATTTAATTAAAAAGATATTCTAGAATCTTTGCAAATTTCCCTTTAAATTTAATTTGTGATTTGGTACCCCCTGAGGTACCTTTTAGAGAGATGGTAGTAGAGTTTGTATCATGACTAAAGAAATTACGTCGCACATAATGTTTTTGTAACCGGTTGTTATGCATGTGTACATCTTAAGGGTACAGCGGCAATGTAGATGGAGTAATTCAATTATTTTGAAGGACCACTTTAAGTCGAAATTTGACAGAATGCAGAAATGCAGCAAAGAAATAACTCTCATTTTGTGGTGAGGAAAATAATAAAGGGAAATTGTATGATTGGATTGTTGTTAATAGGGAAATTGAGTTACAAAAATGTCACGACTTATAATGAAATCAATAGTAGATTTGAGAATGTTGTGGGGAATTTGTACATAATTATTTTTTATTTCTTTTTAAGTATATTGCTTCAAATTTAGCACTGAAACAAATTGAATCAGACCTATCCAATTTTATATGATTAAATCTTTGAATGGGTTTTTTTTTTTAATTAATTTTTTTCAATTATTTTTTTTTTTCAGGTATTCATTCAAAACGCACAGTGATGAGTTTGATTCCGGAGTCGTCCACGAAATAATTTCTGATGATGATGCAATTCTCCCGCACTTCAAAGGAAAGATAATCGGCAAGGTTGAAAATATCGATTCATAGTTCTCTCGCAAATGGTTACAAATCCGAAACAAAAAATTGAGGTGGATCAAACGAAGGTGCTTTAACTTAAAGAAAAAGATGGAATTTAAAAATAAAAGAAATTTTACAGATAAAGTGAGATAAAACTCTTTATTTTTGTAGTATGTTGATGAAACTGACTGAAATTGTTGATTATTACGAACTGGTTGAACCATCGATGTAACTGCTATATCTGGTGTGATCCAGATCAGAGGAGAATAAACCAGTTGTATCTGGTTAAATCTTGTTGATGAATGGATTTGATTAAAACAAAACTGGCAGTTTTTGTGTATCTTGATAGAGATAAGTTGGAGTTTCCTTCAACATCATCTCTGAACTGCATACAGCAAGAATTTGGTGCTCTATGTTTTTGATTCATTAATCAATTTTAGACCATTTCTGTTGTACTTAATGGTTTTGAGTATAATATGCAGGTGAAGATACCATGGATTATAAAAAAAAATGGCCTAGAAAGAAATTTATGTAAATAAGTTTGAGTGGAAGAGAGTTTAATAACTGGAAAAGGAATGTTTATTCCTTTTGATATGTTTTGCTTTTAATAACTGGAAAAGGAATCTTTATTCCTTTTGATATGTTTTGCTTGCAATACACACAATGCACTGTTATTTTTTATATCTTTCCATGTTAAGTGTAACCTTAATAATTGAGGGTAGGAATTGTAGGCCGGTTTGAATCACGTAGCATCATATTTTTGATCGTTGATTCAATTTAAATCAGTGCCAGGCAGGAAGAGATTGTACGGCAGACTGCTTTGTACGTTTAAATAGGACTGCTAAACTGCGTAGTAAAAGCAATTGCAATGTATGTCACCGTTGTGTTAGCGTTTGCACATATAAAATATTCTCAAGGTTTCTCGCTGATTAATGGTTCTACGTGATAATTGGGTCGTAGTCCTCAGAGGAACGCCGGTTCTGTCTAATTCATTAACTCATTTGAAGCAGAACAACGGAGATGTTGAAAACCAGCCCTAATTTGTATACTCTAGTGGGATATACTCTCCTACGATTTTTTTTTTTACATTTGGCTCTCAACGATGAAAATCTTTCTCGAATTAGATGTATCCCTAAATAGCTTGTCTTGTAAATTTGTTTGACTCTTTACTGTGAAAGAGAAGCTTGGTATGAATTAGCTTACTTCTGAATACATAGTAACAAGCCTTCTTTGTGTTAGAAGTAGGTCTCTAGCTTGGCACAAAACACTGCAACAGCACAAAACGTTGCCACCGTCATGAATCCTATAGGTAATAATTAATGTCACATGTGACTCAATGGAGGCATATATCAATTGAAGCTAAGGGTCACGTGTAGTGCAAACAAAACTCTTTATGTACACTTTTTTTTTGCCCCGCCTGTATAAAAATTCTATTCTGGTATCAAATAAGATTTAAATTTTCAGCAAGAATTTCTTTTTATAAAAGTATTCCAAAAATTTGTTACAAAAAATGATTATTATATTGAAAAAAAAAATGATTTTCTTTGGATTGATTTTGGTGTTTAATTTTCAAGACTTCAAAATTAAAACCTTATTTTGAAATTAATTTAATACTGATAAATAAAATCTTATTTTGTTCATTAATTATATAACACACTGTTAAGTACTATAATAAAATTGCTATAATAGATTAAAAATGAACAGAAGAATAATTGTAACAAAATTACAGAGCATCAACTTTTTAATCACAATTAACATCCCATAATGTCATTCGCACAAACTTGTGTTTACAATATAATTAAAAAAAAAAAAAGAATTGGCACTTTTGATAATAACTATGATGGGTTTGATTTCTTCTACTGCCCTTGTATGTAAGATCATGTTTTTGAATGGTAGAGATTTTCTTACAAAACCATGGAAGTTTTATAATACCTTCATAATAGAATTGTGATTAATTGTCAGCTGTTGCTTGGAAATTATTAACTACTTCATTCTCAGTAAACAGGGTTTTAAAAGCTGCTTTCTTTTTTCTAGCAGCTTCATTTCAAATTTTAATATTCTAAATTCATAGTATGCAATAAAATTATGTTATTAAGAAGCAAACAAACCTGAGAAAATTCAACGATGAACTTGTTTAATAAACTGATCAACAGGGTTAAAGGTCAGATATATGCATGATGTAGTTTCTTTAAATATTTGGGAATTTACTAATAGAAAAGCTTTATTATAATTTCTTAATTTTCCCATGATGAAAAAAATAAATTATAGTCTGAGATTAAACGATCTCTAATAATTAATTTTCCTGACTACGATAATTAAATAAAAAGAGAAGCTATGTTTTTGTTAGTTAACTTAAAATGAATGTAAATATTTGTTTAAACATACATTTATGTGTGTATATCTCTGTCTTTTCTTGTTATAAAATTATGTAAATAAGATAGATAAGATTTCTTGATAATGAAGGATATGATTTAGAGAACATTTTTCGATTATTTCAATTTGTCCAATTTTGATGCCTCTGATATGAAGGGAAAAAAACAAAGATATAAAAAATACATTAATATTGCTGCATAGAATTTTTGACTCATTGCTATGGTTACATATTGCTATGGTTACATATTTATAAGAAAAAAAAAACAACACATTGTTAACTGATAGGTACCTATATTTCAGTTTTTTTTATATAGGCATCTTAATTCATAATAGTCCGTGTTTTCATGTAAAAATTATGTCTTATGTTCTGTGGATAAAAATAAAGTTATAATATATTTTTAACAGTGAAATATTTCTTTCTGTTTAATTTTCTTTTATTAGTTTTGAGTTGTGTGTGGTGTTGGATGTGGCAGAGGTGAATTTGGATTTGTTTGTTATTTTCTGAGATTTTTTCAAAAAGAAATCTACATTTCTTCTTTACAGTTAAATAAATATTAATTGTTTTTTAGCTCAAGTTTGCAACATTGCAGTCTTAATACGACCATTCGATAATAGCTCATGCAGTGGCCCAAGGGTCCCTTCGAGTACATTTGTAAATCATTCGCTTGCAGCATTTTATTTGTCAGTAATGTTTTTTTAATTTTCTCTTTTGCTCAGATGTTTTTTGGCAGATTTTTTTTTTCTAAATGAGAAACAATTTAATTTTTATTTTTCTTGTGCTCTCTTCTGAAAATCCTTAAAACATAAAGTTTGCTATTGTAAGGTATAATATTGCTTATTAACTTCAAATCTTCTGAATAAGATGAATAGTGCAGGCACAAAAAATAGCCTACATTAGTTTCCAACACAACTTATTCAAAAACTAATATGAACCTGTCAATGTGTATTACTATACTTCTCAAATACAACAGCAAAAGCACAACGGCGCTTACAGGCTTGCCAACCTATAATACAAAACCAATTTAAGAATTAAAAAAAAAACACCAACACAAATAAATATCAATAAACATTAACACATATTGTGATTGCCCGGAGAAATCAAATAAATAAATTACTCTAGATGAATTACTAAGATAATTGCGGGTGAGAATCTTGGGTTTTTATTAAGGATGTGACACGGTGGTAAAGTGTTAGGCTTGCAGTCAAAAGGTCTTGGGTTGGATTCAGTGGCTGATCTCTTGTTTATATTAGAGCGAGGCAGGGGAAGATTATTATGGGGATGGGAACGTGGGTTGATGAGGATAGCTAATCAGACAATGAGATACTTTTCGTGGAATTTCTTTTACTGGTTTACTGGTATTACATACTGTATACTAAGCAAATCCTTATTAATTGATTGATTGATTAATTTCAACGATGTTTCGTGAGGGCGCCCAGCGAAAAGTCTAATTATTACGGACCCTCAATACATACTAAGACAATAGAATAATATACAATACAATACAATATACAATACAATACAAAAGCCGAATGCACTGGATGTGTTTCATGAGCAGTGCTTGGTGTATTCGTTATCCACCAGCACGTCGTTATAAATACACCTTCTCGAATGGGTTCACTAAATTTACAACATAACCCCAGTTGTAAACTTGCCGTACACGAGAGAATTCACCTCTGATACCAGTTTTGCATTCCAACAGTTCAGTAGAATCTACATGTATAGTGCAACAGGGGGCGGATCCAGACTTTTTGACATGCATTGAAATTGTTAAAATTTAGTGTCAAAACGGGGTCGGGGTGTTCCCCTCCATTACTGGATCCGCGCCTGTGCAGGGGTCCCAAGTTGGAAGAAATCCCTTCCGGGAGATCGGTTAAATGAGCTTTCTGCACATTGTGGTATCGATCGGCAATGACTTCCGTGAGACAGTTAATAATAAAGTAGTAAAAACATGCAAATATACAGTAAATATGAATTTGCGGGAGGTGAGTTTTCCCGGGAGACACTTGCTTGCTGAAGTGCGGTAAGGCCGTCCCGTTTTTCGGGAGACTCGAGGCACCTACATTACTTTCTTTTCCATAACCTTTTTTTTTTTTTATTTTTTTTTTTTGCCGTTACCTCATGGTTTATGTTATTATTATCCCCGTCCACAGCAAGCAATCCAATTTCCATTGCAAGAATAATATAATTCTGTAGTAGAAAAAAAGCATATTTTTTGCTTGTGTACGTACCGATATATCTGATTTATGGTTACCAGCAAACCTTTTTTGCTGTCACCTCATGGTTTATGTTATTTGTTATCCCCGTCCACAGCAAGCAATTGAATCTCCATTGCAAGAATAATATAATTCTGTAGTAGAAAAAAAAAACATATTATTTGCTTGTGTACCGATATCTCTGATTTATGGTTACTAACATAAGGTTTGATCTGCCAAAAAAAACTAAAGAATTTCGTTGTGATGCATAAATATTACTAGACATTATAATAATAATAATCATCATCATCATCATTATCATCATCATAATCATCCTCATTATCTGCCATCATCACCATCATCATGATCATAATCAATTTCATCATTGTCATTGTAGATCGTCGTGTGCTGGCGTGCCACGTGAAAATATAGCATTGTAAAATCAAGTTATTGCAGACTCTAATTATTTATCAAACCTTTATATTTGATGGCGTGCATTTATATGAATCTATCAATCATATTTACAGATGATGGATATGTCAGTTGTTGGCACAGGAACAATTTGTTTTCAACCTGTAAAACATAACGCACATTCAAAAATCGACAAGATGAGTTATTTCTAAATAAATCACAATTTTTTTTTGTTTATAATGTAGTGCTTTTCCAGAGAGGGCGCTGATCAACAATTTAGTTACATTTTTCTTCTTCGGCGATCGACGAGATGTATTTTTGTTGAGAGACTGTATAATGAAATCTAATTTTAGTCTTTTCGTTGGTGTTTTGGTTGTTGGAGCATTCATTTTTTTAGTGCTAACATCAAAATCAGGAGCAGGTAAATGTATAATACAAGGCATTTGCAGTGTACTCTATGTCATAATCAGGAGCAGGTAATGTATGGGTAGGCCTAGCCTAGGCCAGGGACCTTGATGTCTTGACCGTTGACGGCGTTGACAGGAATGGGCTAGTGGCCTAGCTAGGCCCTCGGCTATAGTGGGCTAGGCCTAGCCCTTGGGAGGGCCTACCACTCTAGGGCCTACTTTGCCCTAGGCCTAGGTAGGCCTCCCTTGAACCTGAACTAGAAACCAGAGGCTACCATACCTAGACTAGGCTTCCTTGATGATAACAACTTCCAGCCCTGCAGTGCTAGCTAGTGCCTAGGCCTAGGATATATATGTTAATATTAATGAATGTTGATATTTGGTAATCGCAGTATGGATGATCATATCTGACCAGTTTGTCGGAAACCAGTTTCCGAGTCCTTGGCCACTACTTTGCCAAACGAATCCAGTTCCTCAAAATCATGAACACAGTTTGCTGAATCTTGCCTCTATTCAATGTTTTTACAGGAATGCCAGTCAATTTGAGCGAATTCCAGTTCGAGCAGATGCATTTTAGTGCGAACTTTAACATGGGCGAATTTATCGTTGGCCTATTCTTGTAGTTGTGAGTGAAATTGTTCTCTGTGCACTAAAGTTCTGAAATACTTTTGATAATTATTCCATGTTTGAATTACAGTCTTGGCAAATCCAACTACCAGTTGGCTGCTAAAAGCACTTACATTTTTAAACTATTGAATTGTGCATGTTTCATTCTGAATTAACAATATTACTTTTATGAACATAGGTATGTTTAATTGTAAATTGTTAACCTAAAAATCAATTAAATATGACTTGTTATACATAAGGCTATAGGCTTCCCCTCGGAACCCACCGGGGTTTTTTACCTGACTCCCTGGCAAAGCCTGAGCCTCAACCGAATGCAAATTGTTAGCTCAAAATAGGAAATTTTAATGTAATTAATTGTACATAATTCGCACAGGCTGTTGTTTGCATAAATGGATCTTTTTCCTCTGGAAGTAAATTCCACTTGAATGTTGGTGACACTGTTAGTGATATTTTTAATGGAAAAACAAGTTGAATGTCTGGCTACCATTAAATGTTTTATTAGATATAAATAGCAGCATGCAGTAACTGTACATCCAATTTAAAACATTTAATGTATTATTTTTTAATGTCTGTCTAAATAGAGAAATTTAAATACCACATCTAGTGTCCAGGAAGTCCTAAGTCTCCTGCATGGAGTCCCGGAATGGAGCCTCCTGGAAATCGGCAGGAAGGGCTCCCGCGAGCAAGCAAGAATCTTCCGAAAAATATAATTCCCACAAATTCATGATGACATTTGCATGCTTTTACAAGATTTTACTACTGTATAATCAATTGTCTCCCAGCAGTTAGTGCCAATCATAATGGTTATTACCATGCACAGCAAAATATATTTAGATGTCTTAAGAAAACTCATTAAAACAGATCTCCTGAATAAGTATTCTTGCAACTTGGCACCTGGTCTTTAATTACAGTATAGGGATTCCTTTAGACACTAAAAGCCTGGACTAGGTGTGTGATTCCGGGAAATGGTATTGTATATTAATTAAGAATTAATAAGAGATGTACAGTAACAGTACATTCATTCTTAAACTACACAGAATAAAATAATCTTACATTTACTATATATTTTCTTAATTCTTAATTTCCTTCTAAACAGAGATATTTAAATACCACTTTCACTGCCGGTCTTTAATTAGAGGGATTCTTATTAGACAAAAACTGCTGAAGACCACTAAAAAGCCTTGGTCCCGAAAGTGGTCTTTAAGTGGAGGGAGACCTGTATTACTGTATGTATACTACTGTATGTGTACTCATAAACTGAAAGGTCCACAGATTAATCTCATATAAGAAAGTATAATACGTATTTCAAGTACAGTATTCAAATGCACACTATCATTTGGAATTGAATCCCAACACGATGGCATGCATTTCAGTACTTGGAGTATGTATTATACTTTGTTATGTATACTCATGCCAGTATGAAAAACATCATGTGGACATAGGAGGATTCAAGAAGGGGAAGGGGAAGGTATGAGGCAGGGAGTGGGGGGTGAGGTGAGAGGAGGTTGATCCCAATACCCTTAGAGGCGAAATCTCGCACCTCTGCAAACTTGGAATCTCTGCTCTCTCTCAATATCCATTGCATTCTCTGAAGATGCTTTAGGCTTGTTATAATCTTTTATTCTTATTAAGTATAACTGAGGAGGTATCTCTTCTTGATTATTATTATTATTATTATATTATTATTATTATTATATATTAAGGCCTTCATGTATATTCATATTTAAATTATTTAACCTTCAGATGAACGGAACGTCAAATCCATCAAAGCCATGGATAACACTGACGGCCGAGGTAACGTGCACGCATTTGGTGTGCTTGACTACATTATATTCAGTGCTATGTTAGTGGTCTCAGCAGCTACCGGACTTTACCATGCATTTGCAGACAGTGGTCAAAATACAACAGCAAGGTAGGTCGGACAATCAAAGACAATCTCGCTCATATTTTCTTTGATAAAAACTGTTGTATGCCCGTCTCTTATACACATCTAGATGTGTATAAGAGACAGTTACTAGACATTATAATAATAATAATCATTTTCAGAATCTATAAAATTTCCAGTTTGGACAGATGAAACCTGTCTCTGCATATTACTATACTTTTATTGTTTGAAGTTTTACACATTTATAAAAAAAAATCAAGTTCTCTTAATCTCGAAATGAAATTCTAGTGGCCCTAACGGCCCCGCCCATACAAAAAAGATATAAGCCAAGTGATTCTAGTGGCCCTAACGGCCGTACACACCAAAATGATTTATTAATTAATCAATCGGGAGGGTACTCCTAGAGCTCCTTATCGGAGCTAAAAACACATATTTACTACTCATTTTAGGAGATAATTTTTAAGCATAGCATGCAGTCTTTTTGAAATGCTTGGGGGTAGAATAAGATATGGAAAGTAGTTAATACTAGCTACAAATAAATTATTAATTTATATTTGAATATTGCATATTTTCTTTCACAGTTTGCAGTTTATTTGCACAGTTTGAAAACTTTTAAATTTTTAGTGACCTTAGTGTTTTTTCAAAATGTAGTACATTCACATAATTCCTTTATTCTCGATTTTCCGGATTCCCAATAGGTTCCTGATGGCAGACAGAAGCATGTTTAGTCTGCCGGTAGCCATCTCCTTATTAGCTTCCTTCTGTTCAGCAATCACTATCCTCGGCATCCCTGCGGAGGTATTTAAGCATGGAGTCCAGTACTGGATGGTTGTCTGGAGCTATTTTCTGGTTCTCCCGATAACAGCAATCGTGTTCATCCCAGTCTTCTACGATTTGCAATTAACAAGTGCATATGAGGTAAACATCAAGTCATTTCTTGAGTAAGAAACACAATTCAACTGATTTATTTTTTGATAGTTGAAGGCTACGTTCAGACTTGGAGATAAGCCAGGCTTACTATATGTTAAGCCCGGCTCAAGGTTAAGCATGGCTTAACTTTGCCGAGTCTTCAGACTAGCTGGATTGGCCATGTATGTTCACCGCGTACGCTCCTCACAGCTGACGTAATTGAATGCTGATGGTTTTCTTTATCCAAGGTCAACGCAGGACGCCCCAGAGCGATTAAAGCCGGTGTAGAAAAGTTAAACTAGGTGGCACGCCAGACCTAGTTACTATAGCAACTATAATCCACCTAGTTTAGACTGGAAGGTGGATAAACCCGGTGAGTGGAGCCGGGTTTATCCACCTAGTCTGAACTAGGCCTAAGTGTTTTACTGTCAATATTGATTTGATTGTTTAATTCTATTGTTTCTATCATGTGGTGTTGTTTTTTTTTGTTGTAATATGTATTTATCCTAGTTTAAATTTCATTCTCTAAATGACGGCTTCCCCTATCGTTGAATGATAATTTTGATTTATTGAAAAAAACTATTTAGTTAATTTTAGTTTTTTGTATAAATTTACAAAAAGGTCAGTTTTTTTATAACATGCGTAACAATTATAATTGTGTAGCAATATATTAATTTTATGTTAATACTTTTCTATACCCATATGATTGTAGTACCTAGATAGACGGTTTAGTATGCTTATACGTGTTTTGGGAGCAAGTCTGTTCATTCTGCAAACTGTCTTCTACATGGCTGTGGTTCTTTATGCTCCTGCTCTTGCTCTTGAAGTTGGTAAGGATCTTTATTAATAAAAATCACTTATTTTTATTAAAATTTCTCCAGTGGTAGTTGCTAGGTTCTCGGAAATTTTCATTTCAAATTTAGTGAAAATGGTGTATACACAAATGTTTCTTGAAATATCCTGGCAACTGACAATGAATGTATCTTGTATCTTTAAGTGACCAGTCTGGAAGTTTGGAAGACTGTTCTGATGACGGGTATTGTCTGTACATTCTACACCTCACTTGTAAGTTCTTGCGCCAACTTAACCGCATCCGACTTTATCGGTGACATGGACAAAGTTTTTTCTCCAGCTCCCTCGATTCATCATTACCGTTTTTAATTTATCACCTTCAACAACAGTGTCTTCTTCAAGGGCATTTTTACTCCCAAAATACTCCCCAACTAACCTATCATAACTAACAATGATAAACATTTCTCAGAGAGCCCTCGTTAAATTCAAACTATAATAATTATTATAAGACCAAAACGTCTAAACATGTTGAGAAAGAAAGAAAAGTACTTCACTATAATTATTTTACTGTATTTTAGGGTGGAATTAAAGCTGTAATCTGGACAGACGTATTTCAGTTTCTCGTACTTTTTGGTTCTCTCGTTGTCGTCATCGTCTTAGGGACCAATAGAGCTGGTGGGTTGGAGCATGTGTGGACGTACAATAAAGAGCATGGACAACTCAACTTTTTTGTGTAAATATTTATTTAAGAGCAAGTAATCCCACCATTTACAAGATAGAATTTGTGATGCTGTACCATAAAACCTCAAATAGAAGCCCTAAGGACTTAAACAGAAGCCCATCTTTAAATAAGCCGCCCCTCTCTTTAGTTTCTAAAAATAATCTTGAAAAGAAGCACACAGGCTTCTTTTCGAGGTACCACAGTAGGATTATAATGTAAATGAATTTCAAAGAAAAAGGTTTACACCGAAATTTGTTTGGTGTAAACACCATTGATAAACAATGAAAAACTTGGTTTATTCAGTAGTAGTGATTTAATGCTGATTAATACACTCTAAGATGTTGAGATTAGATTAAAATACTCTACTGTAATTTAAAAAAATATAATTTCTGCTTTTTTTTAAAGCAGGATTTCATGGTTGAAAAATGTTTTTTATACCTTATTTTAAAGTTAACTTTTATTTTTTAAAGAAAATTAGAGAAGGCAAACCATGGTCTGTACTATCCATGCAAAAGAACATGATTATTCTACTGTATTATATTTAGAGATTATTTTCTTTGTTCGAACAAGGATTAGATTAATCTTACATCCTGTTTAATGGTTGGTTCCATTATCCTCAGACCTGACACAAACCCTCTGATGAGACTCAACATATGGAGCGTTGTGATTGGTGGAACATTCACTGCCTTACCTATATGGGCTGTCAGTCAGACTGCTGTTCAACGCTTTCTCACTGCAAAGGATTTAAAGGGAGCGCAAAGGTAAGTCAATGTTTTATTGGCTGTGATTTATTCGGTGTAAACACCAAGGATAGCCCTCGAAAGTCTAGAAGAGGACTTATTTCCAGTGGGGTCCTTCTGGTGGTGATTGGGCAGTATGTTGATACTTCTGGGTAAAGAAAGACACATATATACAGTGTCTTACTCAGAAACACAAGAAAACATGATGTAAATGAGTAAATTGTGTATATGGCATGATACGTTTCCAGATGATGAATATTTTGAATACAACATATAATTTTCTTATTTATTAATAGGTCTATTTGGTACTCGTTGCCAGGGAATATCATAATGATTTCTATTGTTGCTTTCTGTGGACTGGTTCTTTATGCTTTCTATGATGGTAAGTGGTTGGTAGAGGTGGGGGCTTAACTTTGATTCAACAGTGTAACATATTCATTAATCTTATGTATAATAACACTGTGCCAACAGATATTCTGCCAGTGAATTCTACTGTCATCCAATTGTTTGCAAGGTGCATATTTATACTCTACTACTGTACTCATTAGCAGTTTCAAGTCAGTGCATATTTCTACTGTACTATACAATTCATGTTGGTGCACATCTTTGAAATCACATATTTAATGTCGGTGTATATTTTTACCATCACATTTCAGTGCATAATGCTACCAGTGTGTGATTCATTACAGTTAACACTTCGTTAATAATATTGCAAAATTTATGCCGGATTATAATAGTATACCTATCTAGTAAACAATGCAACCATTTGCAGTTTGTTTTTTTTCTATAATTCTTTAATGGTCATCATTCTAATTGGAAATTGGAAATTTGGGCTGGGGCCCCGGGAACTTAACTACAACTTATGGACACAGGCGGACACAACCAATGTCCTTAACCCGCTTAACTCTCAATATCTCAATATGAGGGTTATTTGAGAGGCAAAGCGATCAGACTGTTTAAAACCCGACGCTGGTCAGGTTTGGACCAGGGGTCTTCAGCAGAAGAAGCAGGAACAATACCTGTCAGCCAACTGCTCAGCTCCAGTTTTATGGTGGCATGAACCTCTTGTTTCTTACAGCATAATTTCTTGTTTATTTTGTGTACAGGCACAACTCCAGGCAAACAAGTTCCAAATTACAGTTCAGTAGACCAGGTACCGTATGGATATATTACAATGCTTGTTGTGGTATTGATGATAGTGATGACTATAAAATTGTCAAATTTAAAGAGTGTTTACTGAAAAAGATATGGTGGAAAGTTACTATTGTACAATCTAGTATTTAAAAGCATGGAATTCTCAAAATACTCAAAATAATGCTTATGTTCTAGGGATGGAGTTCTTGAGCCTAAAATTATTTAATGTGAAAGTCTTTTCACACTGGTTAAAGGTCATTTACTTATTCTCTTTTATTTAGATTCTCATTTACTTTGTCAGTCAAGAGTTTGGAACCATTCCAGGAATACAGGGTCTCTTTGTTGCCTGCCTTTTTGCTGGAACGTTAAGGTAATGTCTTGTAGATCTTAAAATTTCCCTCTCCCCATTTGTCCTCATTGATACTTTTTTATTTTTTTACTAACATTGTACCAATATTTATCTTCAGCTTAAGTGTTAATTATTTATACATGCTATTTATTTTCAGTACTGTGGCATCTGGTCTGAACTCTCTGGCTGCTGTGACTCTAGTGGATATAGTCAAGCCTGTACGCAGTATAAGGAATAAAGATGGAGGTCTTACAAGTGCAATTCAAGATAGACGCGATACTTTGCTTTCAAAAGTAATGAGTAAGTTCTTACAAGTATCAATACTATGGCAGCTGTGATGCATTCTCGTAGTTTTTTATTTCTTTTGTTCCTTTTATCATTCCAGTCATTTTTTTCCCCACGGTTGTCGGCCGACACGATTCTATGAAGAACGCAGCACAACGACGTGCGTCCAACAGATCTTTTTTAATGACAATCGGTTAAGACTGCTTCCGCCAATCAGCAGGCGGCATCGCGTCGTCTAGCGCTCACAGGAAGCAGGGTTGGATTCCTTGTGCTGCGGTCGCACGGCGCAGCAAGTGCCTAGCATTAGATGATTAAAAAAGATTGATTTATCTACGTCTTTATCTCTTCAGCTTGTGGATACGGTATACTTAGTATTCTATTGGCCTATGTAGCATCCCAGCTTGATGGTCTAATACAAACAGCGAACACAGTGATTGGTACAGCAGGAGGCCCTCTATTGGGCTTGTTCTCTCTTGGTATGCTCTATCGCCGGGCAAACTCGGGGTAAGATTAGATATCAGATTAGATTATTCACATATATATTTATTTGTTCGTCATCGAATCTAATTTTTTATTTTATTCTAATTTTAACCGGTGGCTATGATTTCATGTTTGTACAAACTTATTTTGGTCTCCATCCACGCAATTATTTATTTGTAATTTACAGTATATATGATTTTTTTTTTTTTAATTTTTTTTTTGTAATACTTTTGTAATATTATTTAAGTTTGCATTCACTGTAATTTTTAAGTTGTGTGTGGAAAAACTCAATAAAACAAACAAACTTAATCACTCTTTAAAGTGGCAATCCCATCATAATAATGGTGGACATCTATGCGCATCACAATGAAAAAATTCAGTTTAAAAATATGAATATCAAAATAATAAGACATCACAAGACAACAGGCGCTGTATGGATCAGTACACCGGGGTAACCCCCTACTCATCTTGAAAGATGTACTGGGTTCTTTAAAGTGGACATGAGCCAATTGTGTACACTGGACCTACAGTTTATAGTCCTTATCCGAGAAGACTTGTTCCACCACCAGAACCATAGGCAAACATCTGCATCATATTTATGGAACTACCTTCCTGTTTTTGTAATACGCATATAGAGTAAACTTTCTTGTATTATGCACTATATAAGACTTACATTATTATTATTATTATTCTTAAAATCCACTCTTATTAATTAAAATTTACCAATGTTAACACCCACCCTCCTTTAAAATGTTTACGACCCACCCTTAGTTTTCTACAGCTACAACCTTTTATGACTGGTCCATGGATGCAAATTCAAAATAATGCGTTATGAAATATTTGCAATTTCAGTGGTGCCTTGATAGGCCTTCTGTCTGGATTTCTTCTTGCCTTGTGGATCACCATAGGAGCTATAGTGCACACAGATGGAGGAGAAGTTAGTGCTGATGCCTTCTCACTGTACCATGTATGTGCAATATATTTCAATTCCTTAAATTTTCAGCAATTTAATGAAATAGTTAATAGGTAATGGTAATGGTAATGGTGGGATATTTGTAGCGCACCTTCCACAATAAAATCGTCTCAAGGTAATGAGCTGTTTTTATTTGGCTACATGGCTAAAATGTCAAATCTTCAAAATTCTGTTAAAACACATAGTCATTTATCTTTAGGCCCAAGGGCCCAAAATATATCATGGCAATAGTAAACTCAACCACCATTATACATGCCATTTTTTTTCACAAGACAAATATAAAGACAAGGTACTCTACATACACTAAATCTGATTATGCCCTGTCCAGTCAATTGAATTATATTTGACAAAAAAAACTGTTGTATGCCCATATATAGTCATGATGTGCCTATATATGGCCGTGATGAATGTCATCATGACCATATTTAGGTATGTCACATGATAATGTGGAGTGGACAGGGCATTAGGGAGCAGAGTTGTTTTTGGTCTTGAGAAAAACTCCTTCTATCAGGATTTGAACCCAAGACCCTAGTATTTGAAGGCTTTACCACTAAGCTAGGGCTCCACTCTTGTTGTATTAATGATAAATTAACAAATAAAAAGTTGTAAATTTTGAATTTATAAGTTTTCTTTATCTTTCACAGCTCTCATTCTTATGGTATAGCACTGCTTCTTTTTTTACCACATTTTTCATTGGCATAGCAACAAGTGAGATTGTACGCTGCGCTTTTGTTGATGAGGAGCGTAAGAGTGTTGACCTCTTGACGATGGCAAGATTTCTCCGGTAAATATGTTTCAAATCATAAACCAACAAAAAAACAACAAAATTGGTGACCATAACGTTATAATTTAAAAAAAATATATATTTTAAATTAAAAATAATAAAGCACATTTTTAAATGTAGGCACATCCAAAATTTAACGTTCAGCCGTATAATTGCAGGATTTTTGATTATGCAAAATACAGCAGCAAAATGGTTTTTAACAGTTTTGTTGGCATTGGATTTTCCTGCTTGAGGAAAACAATGTGGTTGTTGTTCAAGTGTATGATTCGCTAAATACGGTGTAAAGAAAATAATGTGTCTTTGTAGGAATTGATGGTCCTAAAATATTTCTATTTGTAGGCCCAAAGGTTGGAAACCGCCTTCAGCAGGGAGCACGTCCTTAGGCCTAGGAATCGATGACTCATCTAGTGAGCAACTCTTAGCCCATGATGATGATGATGATGATGATGAGGACGAGGTTAATGCTGTAGGGGGTTCAGCAACCGATGATAAGCACCTCTGGCATAGTATGGAAAGAAGTACTTACTTGAAAAAGGAGTCTGAACATTAAACTGGAGAGCTGTATGTTGTGATGGCTCACGGACAGAACAGATTTTCCACTTTTCCGAAAAATGAAAGAATTCATTTTGAGGACTGACAGATGTTGCAGCTTATTTTATTACCTCCGGCAATGAGGTTATGTATTCACTATTTCTTGCTGTCTCTTAGCAATATTACGCAAAAAAAATAATGAGTAAATCATCATAAAATTTAGTGAAATTGTAATAATAATCAAAGATAGACACCATTCAATTTTCAGAAGAAAAGGTCAAAGGTCATGGAAATTCAATTATTTAGCCTTGAGCATAAAAGAAAATAATGGAATCGTTCCTTGTATTCAGGTAGCACTCAAGAAAATAATGTAGTTTAATACAGCGGGCGATTCCATTATTTTCTTGAAGGTATGCTGCAGATTTGCCAGTCACACACTGCCTGCTTATTGTTGGTATTCAGGTACAGGGCAGAGGTATACACTCTATGGAGTGACTGCTCTAGTTAATTTGTTTATTTATATTCTATGAAAATATGAAGTACTTCTTTTGCAGGTCATTGGGTCCACATGTTTAAGTGTTGCTGCTGTAATCACCACAGAGCAGGCAGTCCCACCAGGTGGCTACCCATTTATACTCGTGGGTGGAGAGAAGCAATGCAGAAAAAGCTGTCTTGCTCAAGGACACACGAAATGCACAGTGGTGGATTGAAATCCCAACACCAAGGTTGGGAACCAAACCGTTCTTGCTGCGCCAAAATTCTACAGTTTGCTCTTTGGTTTATATCCACCTACTGCTTTGTCCCAACAATATAGCCAGTATCACTGGAAAATTTCCTTTATATTCTGCATTCTGAGTCTGAATTTACTAGGAAGGTTGGTTCGTTGCCAAATTTGATTGGGACGTTTAATATACAGTACTTTTGAAGAGAGGAGTGGGGGAGGGGGTGTTTTGGTGAATTTTCACTACTGGAGCATGATTTTTTTTTTGCTTAGGACATGGAGGGGGAACTAAGGTTACAAGCTTTAGCAGGGGAGGGGTGCATGGCGCCCCCCCCCCCTCTTGCATCCCCGTAAGTATGCCAATGCAAGAATATAAGAGTGCTACCTCTAAAGGTGGGTATACAATAACATAATGCAACAATGTACGCACAACGAATCGTTTTTAGTGTCAATCTGCTTGGTCTGTCATCGAAAATCAGCAGACAGTGTCGCCTCGTCAAGCGGTCATCGAGAGCGGAGATAAATCCCTGTTGTGTACCTGGTTAATGCATTATATTCAATAAATTGTTACACCAATTCAATATGCAAATGACTCTTCAAATATGTGACTAAATTTCATTTGAAATTTGGTGCACGATGGAATGTTTGATTACGAATACTGCTGTGTTCTGATCCTATTCCAGCAAATCTTCGCATTGTGAGCTGTTTCACCTGCTGCCATTTTTCGGTGCCGAAAACACAGATGCTTCTAACCCTATCAATCTATCACTCCATTAATACAGCGCCATTCAAATGCTCTTTTCTCGAGGAAGCAATGTTATACTTTATATACTAGCGGAGGCAACTTAAAAGTGCGCAATACAAAGAGTTTTAGTGTTGAAAAATGTTTACTCCGATTGTACACACAATGCTCATTTTTAGTTCTTTTGATCTGACATTGACCTGAAAAGTTGATAACTGTTTGATTTGATTTTAATTTTTTTAAATAAGCATTTCAATATTTTGATTAAATTGTTTAACAGTTTTTCAGTTTATATCACATACAGTATATCTTTCAAACTATTTTAACTTAATTTATTTAACATGACCCTTCAACATCTTAATTATAAGATGTGTGATTTTCTTTTTGGACTGTAGAGGTTGTATTTAGGTTTTTTATTATTTACGTACATTGGAAGTATGAGAATTATACCATTTATGTATTTTTCGACATTTTTTCTATGTATGTAATGTGCCCAGTAGTGTTACCGATAGAAAGTTAGGGGTAAAAGCTGTGCGACTGGTGGTCGGACAATTTTCGGTAAAGGCCACTGGGATCTAGAAAAATTTGACATTTTTAGGCCATTTTTAAAAATTATACATTAATAATGTAGACTTAAATTTTAACATTCCAATTTAATTTCTGTAGCTGAATTCAAATTTATAGAATTGTTTATATTCAATGACAATATATTTATTATATATATTTTATATAACACATTAAGCTAATATTTTAAAGAGAACAACAGTTATTAAAATGTTTTTTTGACATTATTTTAGGACATCTTTAAAAGGTGCAAAACTGTCTTTCATTAGATAAATTTATATGTTGATAATTGACATTTATCTTAAATAAAAAAATATTTAAAATTTAATGCCGTCTCTAGTTTAAATTGTTTTCACATTACCAATTAGTTATTTTCAGATAATTTATTCTTTATTATTACATATTTTAACATTTATACAATTTATATGCATGTTGTATTCAGTAATCCTGTCTTCTGAGGTAATGCCAGTCTTGAAATGGGGGTGCTGATAGGGGGGGGGGGAGGGGCTCGATGATCAGTTGAAGGGTGCTAATTTGCAAAATAAGGCTATTTTAGGTGATTTTTTAACTACTTGACCATGATTTCTGGGGGAGGGGTGTACCCCTTAGATGTGCCACTGTTGTCTCCTGGTTGAATTCAGTCATTGCTTTACTTGTGTTTTACCTACAGTGCTGAAATGCAAGATAGTTGTAGCACTTTCCATGTGCGTTCAATACTTGCGTGTATGTTAACACTGTAAACTTCACTGGAAAGAAAAGTGGTGGATTGTCTGCTTTTTAAAATAAAAAATAATAATAATTATAATTTATAATTTTCAGCCACAGCCAGGCAGGGGGTTTACAAAGGTCCAAGTCCTGGTTGTGTATTAGAAATTAATTTTGGCCATTTTTTACCATGGAGGGCTTAGCCTTCTTTCCATGCCCGCTGATGCAACACTATGTATGTACAGCATGTAATACAATATGCATGTACTGCAAGTGATACGTACTGTACCATCACAAATGATAAAAGAATTGGCTGATCTTCTGAAACCCATTTTGTAATGCACTTGCACATATTATAACTCAGATATAATAAATACAGATAGAAATAATGTTAAATGTATGCTTCAGTTTTATTATTTTCATTTATCTGGAATATTTTAAAATGTGATTTGTTGAAGAAATAGCATAATGTGAACCCATAGATTTTTGACTGTGTGTGTGTAAATATTTCAATTTTGTCTCGCTTGCTTTTCACTTCTAGTTTGTTACTCTGAAGATTAGTGGATGCCACTTGAGGCCATAGAGTTATAATAAGAATACCAGATCACTAACTCCAATGCATTCAATGTTCTAAAAATGCAGAGCTGTGTGTGCGACTACTCAGCAAGATGGCTACCGTAGATTCAGCCAATCAAAATACACATAAGCAATTAAAGAAGCATGTTTTGAGTGCAGCTAAGTTACCCGTATGTTTAAAACTTGGGCGCTGCGTTTCTCAGTACTTTATTCATTTATCAATATGTTGTAATATGTATACAGTAGTAAGCTGGAAGTAATGAATGGAACACATACACAACTCTGCTTTGCTTCACAGCCTAGTTAGCATTTAAGTTGTTATAGTAGCTTTATGCATGAGGCACTCTAATTGTTATAGTAGCTCTGTGCTTGAGGCATATCATAAATGGCCAGCTTGGAGTAAAGTGTACGAGCTAACAAATTTTTCGGTGTAGTTCCCATCCAGTCCCTTCATGGCCCTCCAGTGCAGCTTGCTCACCATCTCGGGCTTTCCCATTGGATGCTGCATCTCCAGGCGGATATACGCCAACCAAAGTTCTGAAGGAGGAAATTAGAGAAAAGACATCAAATCATGATCATATATAGGCACATCATGACTATGTATGGACACAACAGCTTGTGTAGAGAGAGTTTTCATGAAAAGTATTCACAAACCTGGATTTGTTGAACCAAATTCATTCAGCGCATCTTCATAAGCTGCTCGGATTCTTGTCATCTTTGGATTTTCCTAAAATATCCATAATAAATCAAAAATTCATACAATTTATATTTTATGTTTTTATTATTTAATTTCATACACAAATTCATGCACTAATGCCTACTCATTGCACAGTTTTGTATCATTTATTCAGTGCTTTGGTTTGCAAACATAACACACTAAAATATATCACATTGTCAGATGTATCAAAAAGTTAATTTGCATATTCATGAATATTCATAACAACTTTTTTACCTGTGAAATCTCAATATCGATGTACTTCTGGTAGAAACCTACTGCCAGTGGTCTTGTGCTGACCAGCTTCTTAAATACCTTCCTTAGCTTGCCAATGCCCTGAGTGGCTCCCCAGTCCAAATAATATTCTTTAACAGTCACCGAGATCCTAGGATGTTCATTCAAGCCTCGCTATAATTAACACAGATAATTATAAAAACAACCTATTACAGTAATATACATAGCAGGTGAAAAAACTTTTCCTCATACTATTTTCTTTTAGACATTTGGACCATAAAATATTTATACAACTTTCTCTTATAAATGTGCCACTTAGCAATGAACATTTTTCATGTTGGTCTGCGGCCCTATACAGACGCCTGATAAGCATAATAATAGGTCGACTTATAAGGCGCAAATAAACAAGGTCTCTTAGCGCCATATCCAAGTAAACAAAAGGTAAGGTCAGACAATAGAGGTATCAGACAACCCTGCATAGCTTACCTGCATGAGGGACTCAATATTGTTTGTGTCGTTTTCTTGGTACCACTGTAAGCCATACTCCCATATTGATAAAGCATCCTATAACAGACATTATAAATGATCAAAATGTTTAAATTGTAACATGGATTGTACATATGATTTTCTCTGTATATTTTTCATTGGAAGAAGTTTGTGTGGTTGTTAGGGGCATCATCTTACACAAGGGTTTCTGGCATTGCTAAGCCTACTTAATCCTATAACAGAGATTATAAATACCAACTGAAATGATCAAAATGTTTAAATTGTAACATGGATTGTAAATATGATTTCTCTGTATATTTTTCATTGGAAGAAGTTTGTGTGGTTTCTGGTATTGCTAAGCGGAATCTGGTAGGTGTTCATACCTCTGTTTTCACTTTGTTGATGGCTTCATCAAACAACTGACGTATATTTTTCTTATCAGTTTCATTCCCTGTAAAATTGATAAAAATAATAATTAAAACATGAGTAAATCTGGATGAAAAATATATTTATATGTCATACGATTGTGATGTAATAAGTTTTTCGATCTGAGATGACGAGTAATTTGGAATGGTCTTGCACCACTGTGAGGCATGTATGCATCTGTAATTATGTTCATTTCTCAATATGCAACAGACTAGCACATTTGATCTAGCAAGTGCACCAGCTATTATACTGCGATGTGCTATCTTGAATTGATGCGCTATCCTGTCGTGGCAAATCTTAATTTGTACCAGAGTACTAAAAGTGAGAAAACCCCATAACGATGACCCAACTTTTAGATGCTAACCTGTTTCAGATGACGCTACATGAAGGGTCAACTTTTGTTTCCATAAAGCAGAAGAATCTTGGAAGGCATCAGTTGCCATCGTCGCTGTTGTTATGGCTTTATCTAGCATTCCCAGCCTCAGCAACAAACGTACCCAATGAGTATAAATGTCCATAGACAATTTGCAGTGCTCCGCTGCTGTTGATAACACTCGTAATGCTCGCTCAGCTCTCTATTGGACGATAAATTGATTATTGATTTTAATTGTTTCATCTAGTGATGGGTAGATTTGGCTATGCAGATGTTATAAAATTGCTTTTTGATGAGGTAATATTTGAATTAGGCTACTACTAGAGTAGATATTAAAAGTTAAAAAAAGCTAGGTCTATGAGTTATTGGAGCACACTTTCACAAGCAGATCCACATACAAAACAAAGTGGTGGTTTAAAATGTAGGTTTCTGGATTTCTATGCACCTTTTCATTGAGCTTTGAGGGGCCCTGATGGTCGATTCTTTCCAGGCAGGCGGTTGCATACATACACCACATCTTTGGTGTGTCCAACCTTGTGGATGCCTCTTCATAAACCTTAAAACATTGCTCTTCTTGGCATAGCACCTTAGTTTCTGTAATAAAAAAAATATTTAAAGCCATTAAACATCAGTTCATCAACACACTCTATGGCCAGATGTCACGGACAGATAAACTTAATAATAACTATATAGGTTATAACCAAAGTGCCTCACCATCTTGTTCTGCCTTTAAAGGTAGGTGTCTCCTAGCGACTGCATCCCACACTATTTCACTTGATGGGTGAGTTGTTTGAACACTGGAAGCATAATAGAAATAATATAAGTGTATTGTGTTTTCTTATTTATTTATTATTTCATTTGATTTTTTTTTTATATACTACACACTATGTTGTTATTTAGTAAAATTACAGAGACAACACAAATGTGCAGAGGTGGATTCAAGAGTGTGGGGGAAGCCAGCCAGGCCCCCAACATTTGGGAGAAAAAAATGCATTCTAATTCTAAAAGTCCGAGAGCAATTTCAAGCCATCTAGATGTATTACAGTTGAACTTGCCCAAGTCAAATCCAGAATGGCATTGAAAAATTGTTCGACTTAGAAAACACAACAATTTGGCAAGCAAAGTAAGATCGACTTTGAAATTATTTCAGTTAGGCAAAGTCGACAGGCAAGTTTAACTGTATAGCTATAGCATTTGGTACTTAAGCTGCAATCATGGTGAGACCTAGTTAGACTGGACCCTCCCTGGGCTCCCTCCATTTCAAATACGTGGATCCACCACTGATGTGGCTATCAAATTACAGAAAATTGGCAATAGGAACCTACTCAGTATATATTTCATCTTCCAGTTTGCTTGTAAAGTCAAACTGTTGTAGTAGAGGTATGAATGACAGATGAAACTCTGCATCATTTTGGATCTCCTCCAATGCTTTCTTGTAAACTATTTTGGCTGCTTGACCTTCCATCAAAGCATCGGACATCTCTTCCTCGTCTGCCTTCATGTCACTTTGCTTGAGCAGGGTCCAGCGCTTACGTAGCTGTAAAGATTGAATGAAAGATTCTCATATCGGCTGATATTTAAGCATATTTCTGGTGGATTCAAGATTTTTTTTTTTTTGGGGGGGAGGGGGGAAGCTGGCCTGGGTCCGTAAATGTTTCAAAAATTTTTTTTTTTATGGACTGGCCTGGGTCCCTAAATGTTTCAAATTTTTTTTTTTTTATGGAGAAAATAAGAAAATTATATTTAAATTAATCTGAGAATGCCATTTTCCCTGCCCATCTAGGAGTGCCACAATCATAAATTTTCAAACACACTATTGATAATTCAGCAGATCAAATGGGTATTAAACTATATATTTAGCATGTACTGTATATGTGCATATTTATATAAAAGTATTTTAACTTACTTTGTCGGCATGCATAAGCTCCATTCTGAAATACTGTTGGATGAAAAACCAGAAAAAAATTTAAGTAAATATGTATACAGTACCAATTCAAAACTACATTACTTTTATATAACAATTGCAGGATTTAAACCTAGGATACTGAAATTGCAAGGTGGGCACCTTCACTATGATGTCACAATAACCATTCTCTTACCTCTTGCCATATTTTCTGAGATGTTGGGTGGTGACGCAAAGCACGGAGTAAAAGGCTACGAGCATTCTCCGATGAGC